AATCATTTGCTATATCAGCATTTTTGAAACGAATTGATAGCTGCTGATGAGTGGGCTCACCACCATCAGAAAAGTCCATGGCATACCACACCCAAGCATTACCATTACTCTTCTGCATGGGTTTCAAATCAAGGTCGACAGTGATGTAATGATTGCAACAAACCTGAAATAAATAAAGCAAATAACTAAAATGAAAAGTTTTTTGGGGGGGGGCAGATGTTCATTGAACATTGTTGAGTTATACAAGGTCAATAAGATAGAATTTGTTTATCTAAAAATGATATTAAAATTTTTTTTGGCAAAGTGCTTTTACACTGAAAATTTAAAAAATCTTTCATGAATTAATTCAAACAAATTGTAGATATTGAAGTTATATGTGAAAATTTTATTGGTGGGACAAAACTTTATAATTGCCATAAACAGAGGAAATTTATTTTTTAATATTACCACACATGATGACAACTTATAAAAAAAAAAACAGGCAAGCCAACCAGTTTTGAACCTCGTTCAGAGCTAATCAAGGTTAAATTTTTTACCGCAAGCAAGGCGGGAGTACCACTAGCACGCAAGGGGTTACAAAGTATTGAGAACAAGAGTAAAGAGGTATGTTTGAGGAAAGGATACAGAGAAAGACAAGGAACAAGCTCAGGGAGTCAGATGTTGATTGACATTACATGTAAATATTTGAAGATTATAGTCATCGGGGAAGCAAGTGAAGGGAAGGGAATTCCACAGACGGGAAGTGCAAGAGAAGAAGCAGTTTGAGAAGAGATGGTTACATTTAACCGTTTCGACAGTGAATAGCACTGAAAGTAAATATCTTGCCCACAGAGTGATACCCAGCATTGGTGCAACTGGTGTTCTTCTGGCAGAGGATGTTGCTGCTGTTCTAGAAGAGTAGCGCAGTGTAAATACTGTTGTGGCAATTCTGGTAGACAGTACCAGTACAAACACTGGTTGTGAAGCAAGGCTGGTTACAGCTCTGGAGAGAAAACTTCAAAAGAAATTACACGTCATTGGCAGTTCACTTCATCAAAATGAACTGCCATTTAGAGTCATCTTTAAATTAATTGATCGAACTAAAAGAAGCCCTACTACTTTCACTGGTCCTCTAGGAAAACTTTGTGGAAATAATTACCAGAATTTTCCCCAGGTAGAATTTTCTATTATTAATTGCCCTCTGGATAATTTTTATCTTCCTGCAGAGGCAATGGATGATGTAAGTGGTGACCAGCAACTACTTTTGGAATATGATGTAGGCATTTCTCGAGGGAAAGTGAACCCTGGATTTTCTGCCTAGAAGATCAATCAAGATGGCTAATTTTAGCCATGAGGTTAATGTGCTTGTGGACCAGAAGTGTCTGTCTACCAGAGCTCTCAGATAAATTACACACCATTAATTGGTTCCAGATCAAAAGGGACAATACATTCTTTAACCAACAACTGCATATCTTCAATATGATCTAAAGAGTAAAGCAACAGTCAGCCAAAATCTAGAATGTTTCATTAAAAAATTTAGAGTACAATGCTTTTGCTTTGCTTCCAAAAAAACATTCTGTTGTCAATGTTGAATCAATTGGAGGTGAGGGAAAAGGCCATAAAAAAGATTTTGTCCATTAGGTAAGTATACATTTATTTATACTTAATTAGTTGTGTAAATTTACAAGAATAATTTTAATTTCCATTCAAATTACATCAAAAAATATAACCAAGTAAAATTTTCTAATAAAAACGTTTCTTTTTGTTTCAAAAGTAGCAAACCACAATAGAAAAGATTGAAGAAAATTACTGCCACCAACTTTGATTGACCTTTCACAAAGTGGGGTCTGTGGACCTGCTCTTGCAGAAAGTTTTTCAAACAATGAACTCCTAGAATCGTCAATGAATGGAACAAAATTGGAATTTCCAAGTTTACTTACACGTTCATAAGGTGAATAAACAATTCAAATTTAAAACATTTATTCCTATAATTTGTGCCCAGTAGTATTATTGTATAATACACTTTTATCTATATATTAATTTCATTATGACCAAAGAAATGTAAGAGACTTAGTCAGCCTTTTTTGTAATTTTTTTTACAGTTATCATTGATTAAATTCAGTATATAAAAAAAAAAGTAAGGATTCATACTTAGAATTCTGGTTTGAATATATTTTCTATACATTGTATCTAATAAAAAAAAAAAATCAATTTTATTTGGAATTATTCATGATATAGAGAAATTTTAAAGTCAGTTTGTCAGCAAAATCTTGCAGAAATTATGTATTTCTGTACATTTTTGCAGACGGCCTTTAACACTAAATGCTCAGTTAAATTTTAAAGTTAGGAATCTAATTTTTGGTATCAGTTCTTATCACACCAAACCCCAGCTTTCACCACCAAAGCAGTGTTGATTTTCTAAAAAAAGAAAAATCAATCTGCCCTAGCAGGCAGGTTTGCTTGGAGCAGCTGGCCATTATACTTTAAGCAGAATTACAATACAAAGATACTTTCAAAAGAATCGGAAAATCAAGCAAGGATGAATTAATGACTGCCCAACATAATCTTAAAAAGTTGCTCAATGACTAACAAAGATCCTATGCCTTTTCTTGCTTACAGGAATTCTCCTGCCATGTTAGGCATAGTGTAACAGGGCAGTGGCCCTGCTAGAGTCATACTCGTGCATGGAAAGTGGTTAGTGACTTCAGACATTGAGAGACTTGATAATTCTGAGCAAAGGAGAAGAGATATTAGGAGAAAAAAATAGAATGATTATTTGGAGTGAAATGGATTTAACCCATAAAATATTTATGAAGGATGGCCTCAGAAGAGTGAACCCAAATTAAACCAAGTAATATTCAGCATATCTGACAACTGGCCCAAATCCTGAGCTCCAAAAAGTTGACTTATGAGGCCACAGGATTTTCAGTTGCTCTAGAGTTTGTTATTTTAGAAGCCTATTTGTTGCATTTGTGTTGATTTCACTGTAGATTTTGGAAACTTAAAAAAAATTCAGGCTCAAACGGAAAACACTTCATAAACAGCTATCTGGGTTACGGAACAGTTCTTTGTTTGAGAAGCTAATTAATCCTGTTTTATTTCTGACTAAAATCTATATTCAGAGTATGCATGCACATGAATCAGAGCTGAAAAATTGCTATTGGAGAGAGTTGCCAAGCATGTCGCATTCAAACAACTTGCATTAGAAAAATGTCCACCACAAAAAGTAACTCACTGCTAAGTCCTTAGTACCATCACCAGCATTACTTAACAGACATCTCTCGGTGCCTGGAGAGTAAAATAGGGATGATAGAGATAAAACAGCCTCATAGCTGTTGTACAATTTTACATTTCACCTAATTAAATTGATAATTTTTCAACAGCATTTTTTCATAGCTTTGTTTGTTGTTGGCATGTTTTAACTTTTTTTTTTTTTAGCAGTGTCAGCAAGCATTAAGGAAACAGCAATTGAGAACTCCTCCAGATCAACAAAGTCACAGCTCATTAGTTAACACATGAACTAAAATTCACTAGATGACATCCTGCTGATAGAAGTGACGAACGAAATTGATTGCTCCAAACACAACCCACTTTTACTGAAGCATAAACTCTTATGATATTCAAAACCAAGACAGAAGTGTTGTATATGTCGACCAGCACAAGTTATGTTGGGTGGTCATGGCCAGAGGTCAGGTTGTTAATAAAAAAAATACATATACATGTATCTTCTAAGGTTAATTTTTAGATTTGTTTTAGGGAAGATTTTGCAACTTTGACAGTAGGGAATATAATACTTCATATACTTTTTGCCAAGAATATAACAGAGATAATGACTGGATTAGTGGGGCAAAGGGCTATACAAGCAGTCATCAAATGCAAACAATTGCTTTGGCCATTTCTAGGAAATTTTCAGAATGTTAAACCGATTCAGAAGAACCTCCAAAGATCTTACCTTTAAGACTTGTTCTCGACGCATTACAATACGCAATTTCTTTGTCTGGATATTCTCAAGAATCTTGATGTTCCCAATACCCCGTTCTTTCCATTCATGACCAGCAAACCTGTAAAGTTTAGCTCTGTGTTCAAAAAGACACATTTCATCTTCCTCCCCAGTTTTAACTTCAACTTTCTCAGGCAGTGGGACAACAGGCTCAAAGTAGATGTGAGAATCTTCACCATCCTTGTTAACATAATAGCCATCATCTGCTGCGTCTGAAGACTTGCTTTCTTCAAGTTTTGGTGTCTGGTTTGGAGTTGTTGTAGTCAGAGAGAAAGGAAATAATGGCTGCGTAGGTGTTGAACTGCCAGACACTGGGTTCAAGGCAGCACTAGATGGGCCTGGACCAAGAATACCCTTACCTAGAGTTGGAGATGGCTTGTATATTGTGGCTGGCTGTATTGTAGGTGGTGTCATTGAAGAGGTGCTTTGGGTAAAGTTGAATACATTTGGAGGTTTGTTCTCACTGCCACGAGACAATGCAGACGGAGTACCAAATATATTTTTCTCTTTTTGTTTTGCTGTATCTTTGTCAGAATTTGATTTTGGTTCTGTTAAAATAAAAAAAAATTTAGAGAATTTTTCAAAAGTCAAACGAGACAGCAATATAATATTCAGCGAATATGAAAATTAGAATTTTTTTTTTCTTTCTTAAACTTACAGCTGAATAGAGATGGGCAGTTCAACTAAAAAAAAAAAAAAAAAAAAAAAATTTTTTCAATTTTATTTTCACACCATGAAACTGCATTGAAATTTTTACCAAACCAAAATGTGTTTTTTTTTTTGTTTTTTTTAAAAGCACTCATTACTGACTGAGTGACCATATCCAAAAGAAACATTATTGAAAAAGACTTTCAGGTGTTAATAAAATTCAATTTTATCAACATACCATTTTAAGAGAAAAAAAAAAATAAAATAAAAACAAGATAAACCCAGACAATGTATTGATCCTATTTGGATGATAAAGCTCCAAAGACACGAAATGAAAGCAAACCAAGTACTCAGGGAATTAGCAATCTATCATAACCCAAAACTTAGAAAAGATCATAGAGGATTCCACACACTTAGTATAAGGAACAAAACAGATCATTGATAAACAAAATTGTAAAATTACTTCTAACAGTCTTTATTTATACATATAAAAAAAAATGAACATGTTAGCATGTCAAACTTTTTCAACTTTACACCTAGAGGCTGTAGCCTAACATCATTTTGGAATCAGGCCAACTCAATGAACAAATTAAAGACATTCTGGGCCAGATCTGCAATCTGGAAATTTTGGATTCCCAAGTTTTCATTACTGTAATTGTTTTTGGCAATTCTTTTTGTACGATAATTTTTATAACTTGGAAATAAATTTAGAAATAAGTGAAATTTATTGCAAAAATCTAGCAAAAGTTACCCATGAAATAAAAAATAATTGTTTGTATGGAAATAAGGACCTACTTATATCAAATTGTCTAAATGTCAGCAGAATATTTATCATTGAACTTTTAAAAAATAAGCTTAAGTATTAATGCAGTGATCAATTTTGTGTTCTTCTGTAGTTTATTGTTGCTTATCACATAGAGCAGCAGTATGCTTCACAAAAAAAAAAAATCTCCAACATTGCAATCAAAAGAACCAAGGCTGCAGCAAAAAACAAAGTCCTGTGCAAATGAAAACGCAGATCAAATGACAGCCAGGAGAGCTTCCAAATGGTGAGAATATGCAATGATTTAGGAACTCACAAACTCCTGAACAAGCCGAAGGCCCAACCAATTGCTTGTTTAGATGCTTCCCTATTGGGCAGCATCTAAACAAGCAACTGACTGCTTATATTTTTCAATTATCAGTGGTGCAGGTTTTTTCCCTGTATTGTTTGTGTGTGTGTGCATACAGTCATGTGCCTAGCTGAGCAGATGTGCAGTCATGCATGTATATATGGGTCACTTTATTATTACTATTTTAACTGTATCAATTTTTATACATAAAATTAATAGTATCTATTTTATATTCCCACAAATGCCTCTTATATATATATATATATATATATATATATATATATGCACAGTACTAAGTAAAACTTCATTTACTTAAAAACAACTAAAAGTAAATAAACTTCCATTAGGATATATTTAAACATTTCTTCAAGCAAAAACTATAGCAAACCTCACTTCTTCGAAAACTATTTACTATTTATTTTGTAGGGGAATTTAGATTTTTTTTTTTAACTAAAGTTTTACTTTTAAACATTACATTAAAAGGAGCAAACATTTCTCTGTAAATAAACTTAATTACTATTTTGAATGAGTAGAAGCAAGAGACATTGAGAATTTAATTTTGATAATCGATTATGTTTAAATTTCATGTTATATTTGTATTTGAAAAGAAAAAACAAAGAAGTTTAGTTAAATAAAAATTGGGCAAGACAGACATGAGTTATGGTCAATATTAGTTGCGCTGAATATTTGTTTTACAAATTTAACTATATTTAGTGTCTTTTTTTAATAAAAATATGGGGATGCTCATCTCCCTAAAAACCCCTACCCCTGAATATGGTATTGGTAGTGTGATATTTTCCTAAATTTAGTTATTTTGTAAGGAAAAAAGATTTTTTTTTAAAGATTGAATAAACAATTATTTTACATAAGATGGTTGAAAAATATCAATTGTCAATAATAATCTATTATTCAGAGATCTTCTGAGCAACACCCTGCTAGTGAACAAAAAAAAATACAACTATCAACATAAGACATTAGTGGATAATACCAAAATACCTTACAGCACATCCAATACAAGCAAAGACAAAGCTCTAGAAGCTAGCTATTATTATACAAAATAACCAAACCAACCCACACTAAAATAATATTCACCACCAGAGACTAACTTGAAGTGCATAACATATGTAAAATGACAGTATGAATAAGTTTCCTTTTGTTTTATATATTACATAGAGAAATCTAAAATTACCTCATGAGAATAGACTATTTCAACTAGTGTCAATGCACTAGCATTTTTCAACTCAAATGGACTAATAAATTTTTTTTTTTTTTTTTTTAATTATTAATTATATATTTTTTTATATTTTAATTAGATATTTTTTTAGAAATTTTTCTAAAATTTTTTAAATGTTTTTATTTAATTTTTTTAATATAAACTAATTAAGATTTATTGTTAATTTTATAATTTGCTAGCAGTTTGGTATTTTTTTTTTTTTTAAAAATGGTAAGTTTTTTTTGTTTTTTCTTATATAACTAATAATTTATTATTTTGTTTTTTTTTTTTTTTAAATACTTTTATTTTCCGTCAATTTTTTTTCATAACACCAACATGGGAGTTAATATTTGGGTCAAATTTTGTGTAACTTTTTCATTTAAGTCAGACATCTGCCTCGCCTTACCAACACTCAGGTGTTTTGTTTAATTAGCTCAAAATCATATTTTCAATGGCTGTCTCTTTTTTTTAAAATATTTAATTTTAAATTTCTAACACTATTAGTCCACCATTTGAGTCTAAAAATGCTTGTGCATCATTGCTAGTTGACAGTGTATTCTCATGAAGTAATTTTGGATTTCTCTATTATGCAATTTATATGCTTTCTTATAATAAATACATTGAGCTCATTTTGTGGATCAGTTTTAATATTTTATATTATTCACTTGATTATATACCAATGGATTTATTACCTGTATTATATATATATATATATATATATATATATTATATATATATAAAGACAATTTTGATCAAGAATACCCAAAAACATTGTTCCCTACCTGATGAAGTTGAGCCAAAAACAAACGTAGTATTTGTAGTACTGGCTGGGAATGAGAAGCTGGTTTTGGATGAACTGAATGTAGACGTGGTAGATACACCTGGTTTTGGAGCATTACAAGCAGGACATGCCTGCTGGGTGGCAGTACATTGCAGAAGACATACATTGCAATTCCAGGAACCAGATTTGGGCTTGAAAAGTTCATTAAGTGGGACAATGGAGTTGTTATTTTGTTTGGGTGGGTCAGACTTGGTGGTCGTCGTTGAAGGTGTTGAGGTAGCCCCAGTCTTTCCAAACACATTGACAGTTTCATTATTGAACACAAAACTATTTGAACTATTGCTGCTTGTACTCGCTGATGGGAGCATTGGAGTAAATTTAAAACCAGAACCGTCTGTATTGAATACTGGTGTTGATGATGCAGTGGTAGAAGAGATGACAAATTTCTCAGGAGTAAATGTAAATCCGGAGTCCTTGGTTGCTGCTGAAGAAGAGGCATCAAATTTAAAGCCAGTCTGTGTAATACAGTCTGTGTTAATGATGGTTTTGCTTGGCACAGATGATGGCACATCTGCCTGTTTGACACCAGGTTTCAGTGAAGCACAAGCAATACATTGAAGAGCGCTCACATCATTCACAATGTAACAGCTATCACATTCCCAACTGCCTTTCTTTGGCTTAAACATCTCGGACAGTGGAGGCAGTGAAGAAGAACCAGAAGTAGCTACTTCAGTAGAGGACGTGGTCTCTGCTTTTTTGCCACTGTTGCCAGGGCTCTCCATAATATCAGGAGCAAGATTTCTGCATTTTTCAAAGGCTTCTTGAAACTGCTCAGCAACCTCAGCAGTTTTGAACCTCGCAGTAAACTTCTCAAATCTGAGTTCCTCATCAGCAAAGTCTTGTGCCACCCAGCACCAGGCCTTGTCAGATGCTGGCATGGGAGTCAGCTTCATATCCTGTGTGATGAAATGGTTGGCACAAAGCTTCAACACCTGCTCACGCCTCATCAAAAGGCGACAACGATTGTTCTTTTTGTTACGAAGCAACTTTAGCTCCCCAACTCCACGTTCTTTCCACTGGCTAATATCTTTATCAAATCTATAAAGTTTAGCACGATCACCAAACATTTTCTCCTCTTCCTCTTCACCAGTCTTCAAATCTACCAATTCTGGAAGAGGGATGACAGGTTTAAAGTCAACATTAGGCTCATATTCTTCCACTTCATCATCTTTGCCACCCTCACAGGAACTTGGGAACAGTTTAACAACTGGCAGAGACATGTCACTTTGGAAAATATTAAATGATGGTTTAGTTTCCATGAAACCCATTTTTTCATTAGAGTTGGTATTCTTGATGACATTAGTCACAGCTGGTTTGGGAGATGAAGATGATGTTACACATTCAGTTGCTGTTGTAGTAGCTTGGAATGAAAAATTCCAAGGTGATTTTTGAGCACTGCTGTTGCTTGTAGTCTCAGAGACAAAATCTGTGCTGTCTTTTGACATTAGGATATTTGACTTTGTAGTACTGAGATCAAAATCAACTTTCGGTGTACCTGAATGGAAGAAAGAAAAGGTACAAAAATTAATGAGGAACAAAGATTATTTTTGCAAATGGATGTTTTTAATCTATCTGAACACGCAAGTTCAATTATTAATATTAAACTTTAAGAAATTTAAAAATGCCAAAGTTAATTTTTGCTACAATTTATGTAGCAACCATAAAAATGCATCAATGGTAGAATTATGATGAAGCTAGAGGGTTTTCCAGAGATAGAATACACCAGTCATCAATTTTCGTTAAAAATGCACAAACTGTTAATGATTTTATGGTTATAAAACTTGCTATATGGGTGTGTAAAAAATGTTTTTTCTGTTAACATCAACTCCAGAAATTACTTTCTCACCATATAAAATGCACTTAATAAATAATATAACAATAGTTTGCTGGGATGGAGTAACTTATCAAAATTTTTCATGTTTTTTTTTTTTCTTTTATTTCATTTCTTTTCTGCAATATCTGAACTATGTTTCTGATAGGAATATGCAGCACATTGCCAAGATGAAGAAAATAGTAAATAATCTCAAAAACCTGAACCTGCTTTTAATCAGTTTTTATCAGCACAATTATAATTCATATATTTAACTGGTTTACTGTTAAAATGATTTGGTTATTTTTTCTTTCAGTTTGGTCAAATTTTAGAATTTTGAACTTATTTACTATTCTCTTATGTCTTAATTATACAATCAATTTAATCAGTCCTTTTATTAAAAGGAAAGTGGCTTTTCAGATACATAAAAATTCTAATTTGTTTTTATAGGAATCCAATTAGAATTTTACCTCAAAAGAATTAGGTACTAAATTATTTTATTGTAGTATTATCTAATGTTTTTTTTTTGTTTTAACTTTCATATAATTTACTTCTTAATCTCAATTTGTTTTAATTTTTATTGAAGATATTTGCCAATTCTTCACATAAAAACTTTAAATTTTGTTTTCCATTTTAATAAGTATATTTTATTGCAATAGAAATGAAGAAAAATCAGTCCAAGATTTTTTAATACTGTCCGTTATGCTGTAAACAGTAAACCCCAGTTTTCAAAATAGAGGCAAGTTCTACCAAAAGTTACAATTACCAAGCTCATTAAAAACAATTAAGATCAAATTTGAAACCCTTGATAATTTATTTAACAATTTTAATCAAAAGGTGCATTTGGCAGAAGAAGAAGTAACCAGGCCAACCAAAACATTATCCCCACTCCATTGATGGAATAAGGAGTCTGGTCATCATTAATAGTTTTTCTTAACCTCATAATTTACTTTTAGAGCAGTGAAGAAGAATCTGAACAAAGAGAGAAATTGCATAATCCTGATAAGAAACAAAAGATATCCTTTCTGAATACAGGCAAAGCAAAACAAAGGATCTAGTATGCATCAGCTCAAGTTAAAAGCTATTGTTTTTTTTTTTCCTTTTAAATTCATTCTTAAGGTAGGCTAAAAATTCATTCACTTTCAAAATAAATAAAAAGGTATTGCTCCAGCCCCACACTAATAATAGTAATTACAAGTTTATTTTATTACTATTTTTTTTTTATCCATGTTTGCCCCAAATCCTCCATTCCTGGCATTCAAATGATAGCCAAATATGAAATTACTGCTAAACCCAAGACAGACAGAAGAGAGTGAGAGAAAGTAGATAAATGAAAGAGACTGATGCTAAGAGTGAAAAACTAAGAGAAACTAGTACTTACTTGTTAATGTGAAGCCATCCAATGTTTTTGTACCTTTTTGAGTTTCTTGTACAACTGTAGATGAAGTAGGCGTAGAACTAATAGTGCTTTTGGCATCAGATGTTTGGTTCAGAACTTTCAAGAGGGCAGACGTGGTTGCAGGCTGATTGGAAGAAAGTGCAGCTGCAAGTGGAGATTGAACAACAGGTGACTGAGACGCTTTAGGTGTACCACTCACACTGCCAACAGCACCTGATACCGTAATAGTTGTAGTAGTCGTGGTAACTGAAGGGAAGCTGTTCTCTGGTTTGTTGGCTGTCCCAGGAGAAGAGGCTGTAGGAACTGGAGAGAGTTTGATGCGCGCAGCATTGACGGTCATCTTAAAATTTGTGGCATCTCCTACTTTCTCAAATTCAACACTACACTTGGGTGCCAATTTGCTATTTTCCTTGGCACAGGAGGCTGGCTGGCACCAGGACACCTGCTGGTTTTTGAACACTGTTATCTGAATATCCAAATCAGCAGTAATGGTTTGTTGTAGTAAGACTTGCTTCTCATCAGCTGCCAAGGCAACCACAATGACACCTTTGCCATCACACAAGTTAATCACACGTACAATAGCCATATGTGATTTGCCTTCATAATTAACAAAGCACCCTTTAGCAGCAAAGCTGACTGTCTGGAAGACTGGTGACTGTGGCAAACCTGAGACCTGCTGGGGAGCAGGAACTTGTGGAGTGGACAATACAGATTTTTCACCTTGCCATGTTTGAGGGAAACTAGTATCATAGGTGCTACGCTGAGGTGGGCGGATTGGTGTTGTGAATCCACTGCAAGGGGAATTAGTCTGGGGAGGTGTGAATGAATCTGCAGGGGGTCCAGCACCCAGTGTAGATGGAGGCATAGCCAACTGGAATGGAGTCTGGCCACGTATCTTTTGAAAGAAGCTTTGAGGAGTTTCAGCAGCTGCTGGTGAAGCAATAGGTTTAGCAAATGTAGGGCCCACTACAGCATTGGGGGGCATTGGCGGCAATGGAGAAAGTGAACTAGAAGGCTGAAAAACTGGAGATTTGCCAGATAATGCACTAGCAAGAGGAGGTGGTTGGGAAGGTGGAGTGCCAGGAACCTGGGTAGAGGGTGGAGCAAACATTAAATTCTGACCTTTATTGCCAGAGAAATAACCTGGGCCTGGCATTCTTCCAATTGGACTTTGGGAGGTATGATAACCATACTGCAAAGTTTGGCCCCTTAGGACATCTGCAAAATAACCAGCTCTTGGCATTGGGGCACGGTTTTGTACTGAGTAAGTTACAGTAGACTTTCCAACCAGGCCTGTCTGATGTCCAAATGGCCATTCCTGAACGAGCTGAGAATCGGGAATATGAAAATTGTTTGGGGATTGGTTATTGCTCCCGTCATAGTATTCTCCATCAACATGACAGGGATCTTCCTCTTCATCATCATCCTCATCATCCTCAACTTCATTCTCTTCGGCATTGTGGCTGTCCTCAGCGGCCATCTTTGAGTATGGTGTCATACCTGACTGCCGAGAGTTTTGTAGATTCTTTGGAGAAGATGCTCTGTAAGATGCTGAAGGATTGGTGCCTGGCAGCTGGTATGCTGGGTACTGTGATGCTATCCAAGGTGGTGGCTGTGGGGCCAGCTGAATTGAAGGTGGTCGGTAGGGGGAATTCATATATGCTGCTGCAAGGTTTTGTGGTGGAGGTCCAGCTTGAGGTGGACCTGCTTGGGAAGGAGGTGGAGCTTGCTGTGGTGGAGGCCCTTGTGGAAAGCCACCAGACATCATCCGATATTGTGACAACTCAGCCTGCAATTATAATTTAATAAGTAATCTTAAATTTGTTAAAAACATGCTTACAAAACATTAAGTATTAAAAATAGCATATGTGCAAGAAAGGAATATGAGGCAAGAGAAAAAATAAGTGCTGTTGCTTTGTTAACATTCTTATGAAAAGAAAGTATCTGAAAAAACTGCTGATGTGAAAACAGGAGAAAATCCACCCCCACCCACTGTACTTAGAATTCATTTATTTCTTGTCAATGTGCAATGAAATTGGACAGCAGTTCCCAGGTGCTCAAAAAAAAAAAAAAAAAAAAAAATTGCCTGAAATGAAGGGATATAATGTTCAAAATACATTTAAAATAGTCAGGGTGTAGCAGCACTCATTTTATGCAGGGCCCAAGGATAAAAGCTGTCCCTCAAGCATTTTGTACTAGAAATAATAGATCTAAAATGTTGCCCTGTGTGTAACAGTTCAAACAAGTGTTATCCAGAATACATGCTGCCTTTCATTGTTTTTGTTTGTTTTTTTTGCTGCTGTGACAGTAAGAATTAGCAATGTCCTCCAAAGAGGGCAACAAGCAGCATATAACTTTTGTCCAACTACTTATTTGTAAATTAGACATTATCTTGCATCTATTTTACTAGACAAATACTAAAATATTTTCTAACAATTTTATTTGATCAAAACAAGACATTTAATTCAAAAGTTGCCTAAAGTTTTTTTTTTTTTAAAGTTCCCCCATTACAAGGCTCGAGAGCCACTGGTGTAAATGTTATGATGATGTATGTGTGCGATATAAATGAAACAGGAAGTGGTAGGAAGTAAAGATAACTAAGTCTCGACTTTAAGGAGCCATTCCATGTCAAATCAACAAGGGTTTGACCATCAAACATGGATATCCCCCCCACCCACAAATTTGGTACATTTATAGAGTTTCATGAGAGAAATTGAATGGTACATATTTTACATCCCTAGGTCAAAGGGTTCCTGGGATATAACTCTTGCCAAAATTTAAATATTAATATCAGTTTTTTTTTGGGGGGGGGTTGACTTCCTGTAATTGCTGAGGCATTTTTAGGTTTCTGCCTCAATTATCTATTCATTTGTTGAAGAACACATTTATGCTAGAAATCTTTTTTCTTGCATAATCCAACAACTGTCTTGGTGTCACTATTTGTTCATTACAGGGTTGCTGCAGGCTTGTTTTTGCTGCTAATCTCTTAATAATGCCACCTAACCCACCACATGGTCTTTTCCCATGAGACATGGCAAAAAAGTGCCACTCTGCATCAAAACCAAAGTCAGCCATATGGTTGCACAAATTGACAACATTTTTATGTGAAGTGGCACCATGAGAGAAATAGACCAAATTTTTATTTTAAAATTAATATTTTTTTTTTTTTTTTCAGTACTTCTAAGTTTTCCTTGGAACAAATGGACAGCTACTGTGTCTTGCTTGAGACAATCTGATATCATTACAATATTAATATTCTCCAGCTCTGTCATTTCTGGAATAACAAACAAATGGATGTAATGTGACTTGAGAATTATTCCAGTGGAAGCCTTGTGCAGCATCCTGCAAAATATGTGAATAATTCTCAGTAAAATCTACAATAAATGACTTTACCATCCATCCAAAGAACTTTTATTAGAATAAAATTTTAATTATTCTTTGGCAATGAAATACTGTTTTTTCAAGATTTGAAAGCCTATGCAAAAAGTTTCAATGCTCGGCAAATTTTAAACTAATTGTTTGAATTTTTAATTTAAATAATTGGTATACTGCTTTCAGTTTACAGAGTACAAGATATTTTTGTTCTTGTACTCTTCTACCATTCTTTAAGACGGTCATTTTTTTTTCTAGGAATCATGCTGCTCACTTCTTCACTTATAAAAGAGCACAACTTCAAATTGTCTCTTGTAGGAATCTACATTTTCATATATTTGGTAGAGATAATATTCATTTACAAGTTTTTTGCCATGTATGTTATGGTACAAAATACCATTTGAATTCTTTGGATAGTCCAGCTTTTTGGAAGTAATGTCAAAATTTGTACTTTTTGGAATCTTTTCACAAGCTGAAAACTTAATTGTGTAATAATTTCACTTTCCTTGGATCTTTTGTGCTCTCCTACACTATTAAATTCTTGATGAAAAATTTTAGTCAAAATCACTTTACTTTGATACTGCTCCTTTAATTTTTTTTTTTTTTTAACTGATCAATCATTGGCAGTGACTCATTAAAAAGTTGCAATTAATTTTCAATATCTACAAAAATGCTAAAAGGCTGTGATTGGTCTTCAGCTGATACTGAAGTACATTCAGAAAACTTGGGTAATGATAATTTTATTTGATAATGGGTTTACTTGTTAATCTCTTTGTAAATGTTAGGAATCTTTTTTAAATATTCATTTTAATGAATCACTTTCGGGATTAAAACTTAATTTTTTTAAATATACAGAAAACTACTGAAAATTTGTTTTGTGCATTTAATGTACCGTATCAAACATCAAAATTTGTCAGCCATTAACATCATTTGTTGTATATTTTGATATTTTATGTTATCTTAACATTAATTCATGACTTTTTTTTTTTTTAAATTATTTTCATTGTCACTTTTTCATATAAAAAATTGTTCTATAAAATGTAAACAAAACCAAAAATAAGGTTGTTTATTTTTCACTGAATTGGCCAACATTTAACCACAAATAACACAAATTCTGTTGATTTTATGATAATAGTTCTCATATGAATATTAATCAGCATTCAAAGAGCTTTCTAAAGATATACAACTTGACTATATTGGGAGATAAAAAGGTTAGCATATAGTAGCAAATACCAAAATCCGCCATTTTGAATTTGGCCTAACTCAGTAAAACCCTTGTAACTCAGGCCACAGTCAAAATCTCACAAGATTTTGTACATCTCTTGCCATAAAACAGACAAATTTGTCAAATTTTTTAAAAAAAAAAAGGGGGGGTGAGGTCAGATTATCTTATTTTGCCTTTAAACAAAAAGGTAAGTAGATCACCTTTTACATCCATTCAAGTACTTTATAATGGTATATAATTTAGCTTTGTGGGTGAAAAAAAACAAAAAACTGAGATATTGATTATTTAAACTTTATTTTCCAAAATTCATCTTTTTAGCAAGGGTGAAAGGGTCATAATTTTGGGAACCCTTTGACCTAGAAATGTAAATACCATTTCATTTCTATCATGAAGCTCTATAAGTGTACCAAATTTTTTAAAAAATATCCATGTCAGTGATGATCAGACTCATGTTGATTTGACATGGAATGACTCAGAGGTAAAAAGGTTGTAGTGTTCATGAAAGAATCTTCACAAAGTAACAGTTCTTAGGAAAAGCTGTCCAAGTGGAACTTTATCCTTACACACAAAGCAAATCAGAATGATTTGATTCCATGGAAATAGTATAGCATGCTCTAGTTGTGAAGATCTGAACAGGTAACTAAAGAATGGAATCCTCATCTAAACCTGGAAATAGCAACAGAGCAGCAATTGTCTTGCAATCTGTGGGAAAAAGATTCTAGAGTGGAAAATAAATCTCTCCACAACATTGTATCAATGATTTTGAACTATCAAGACTGGAAAGTATGACTAAATCATTCACAAGGCAAATGGTGCCACCAGAAAACCCTTCTTCATACTTATAAATTCAATAATCCATGATTGGTAGAGAGCCTTTTTTCAATAAGTGGAATGCTTACCTATGCATATTGCATTCAACTAAATTGCTAAGATACAAAAGTTTCAACTCCCCACCCCCATCAGTTTCAGAAATTCTAGTCATAATATCAACAAGTTTTATAGGCAGAGAGTTAACATTTAAATGAACTAAATCTAAAAATGAAATTTGTTACTTACCCAATAGAGCCGGTTCAACTCTTGCATTTCTCTCAACTGGTTTGACATTTCTTGGTGCTGTTCTCGAAGATCACGCATATCACGCTGTAGGGCTACATTAAGCTTAGTTAGTTCTTTGTTTTGATCGACAATTGGCTTCAAAATAGAGCTGTGTGACAACTGTAGGGCTCTCAACTGTGCATCTAAACGTTCAGGACTGGGGCGTATGTGGCTGCCCTGCACAAAAAATATTAATACAAATAATATTAAAGTGAAAGTCATTTTTTGGAGAGCAGAAAGGGGGTGTCATTTTCACTTAATTTTTCCTTTGTTTATTGATGATACACCTGACAAAGACTAAAGAATGGTTCAGCCAAAATAGTTTTATTAAAAACACAAAAGGAGTTCAATTACCTAAATAAACCCTTAAATACTAGATTTCAAAATTATAGAAAACATTAATAACTCAAATTTGTCATACCCTTTAAAATTATCAGACTGGTTGGTTATGTAGAAATGTTACTTTCTATTAGCAACTGCATTAAAAAGAGCATTGCTCCTTAGGAATTTTATAAAAAGATTCTTTAAAAGTTAATAATTCTATAGTTAAAAAATTTCAATCATTTAGCATCATATACTTAATTTTCAAATTAAGCTGAAATATTAACTACAAAGGTTTTATGTTAAAAAAAAATTAAAAAATAATTACTTGTTTTAGTGACCACAAATAGACAGTAAAAATATTAAAAAAAAAAAAAAAAAAAAAAAAAAGTATTCTAAGCTTCTAGATTTTAGTTTCAATACATAATTAAGCTATTGAATAACATGCAATGTGAAGGGTGGAGGAGACAACTGAAATGAAAATGATCAATTTAGTTTATATATTAAGTGAAGGTTAGTTTCAGATTATGAAGCCATATATAAAACAAAACATGTGTATAACTTATAACTTTTCTTTTGCATCAGAGCAGATGTACTGCACTGATGTTAGGTAGAAGAGCCTATCCATATGTAAATAATGGCATTCTTATAGATAAATTTATATACATTTTAACAAAAAAAAAAAAAAAAAAAAATCTCTGTAGTGACAAAGCTATAGTGTCCCAGAATAAAAGAGCAGCATAGATATTTTCAGTTAATGACATCACATATATTGTAACCTAAATTTGATGAGACATCAAAATCTTAATTGATAGTGAATAACTGAAAGAACTTACTTCAGATGATCCATGGTGATTCTTAGGAGTGTGATGTTTGGTTGCAAGTGGAGACTTCTTTTGTTCCTTTTGGAAATCTTGAGTGCAGTTATGAGACTCTACTGGGGTAGATACACGGTTGGTATTTGAATCATTGATGTAAGACTCCTCAACAAACTGGTTGGTAGAACCATTGGAATTGACAGAACAAAACGATTCTCCACTGGAATCACCATCAACAACTGAGCGGGAACAAGAGGTAAAATAAGACGCACATTGTGGAACTGAAGCTAGAAAGAGGGAACCATTGGAAAGTTTTAGATTTCTTTACCTTTCTTTCTTGAAACCAACAAATGCAAACTGATTTTCAATTAATTTTTACAAAACTAATCAGATCAATTTGGAACAAACTCATAGCATTTATGACATTGATCACTAGTGAAATTAATTACACCTATTCAATATGCTCCCAGTATTAGATATGAAAAATTTAATGACACTAATCAAAAGTTGATTTCATTTGGGTCTTTAAGAAAAAAATAAATAAATTAAATAAAAAAAATTATAATCAGGTTTTATGTTCAAAAGCAAAAAGAAATTAAGACGAACAAATAGTCTTCACTAGATTCATTAATGAAAACAATTATTCATATCAAAGCTTCATATAATTGAAGAAAAATTCCTCAGTTATATGCAAAAAAAATTGATCAATGTCAGATTCATTTAAAGATTTCTACAACCCCCCCCCCACACACACAAAAAAAAAAAAAAAAAAAAAAAAAAAAAAATAAAAAGCAGGCTACAGTATCTTCCATTTATATTATTGAATTTTTTTTTTTATATTGTGTATGTATTGAGAAACTCCAACAAGCTTTTGCAATACAGAAAAACCTCTCAATGGAGTAATAGGATGGGGGGGGTCTAGTAAAGCCCATTATAGATGGGAAGGGATTATTTTTGAGTAATAAAACCACTATAATAACTGCCAGTAGTTATGATCATAATGTAAATACTATAAACACGTATATATGGCATAAATAAATATATACTTAATATAGATATATTAATCAAAATAACAAAAATAGATTTCACACACACACACACACACTAATGTATCATACTTTATATACTATACACCCATCTTTGTTTACAATTGAAAGGCCTGCATTGCCACCAAGAAATCACTTTGTGAATTAATGACTTGTTCTGCTAAGCCCACAAATTTTGAAATACATCACTGACAATTTGGAAGATTTTTTTTATTTTTATTATTTGGCTTGCAGATTTTGTCCATCGCATTTGAAGTTCGATGGGGGAGGGGTGTGAATCCATAGATGGGAGGTTTGCCTGTATTTCAAATTTCACCTCAAGACTTTAAGTGAACTAAAATCAGTTTCAGCATTTTCTTACCAATTAATCATGGAATACATTTCCTGCACTTGTTCAGTCTTGTGTTTTGTTTTTTTTAATAATTCCTTATAAAGTCAGAATGCAAATGAATTTGCCAACTAAATAAATTTTAAGCAAGAGAGAAAAAAAAAAAAAAAAAAAAAAATCAAACAGTGTAGTATTAAATAATGTACAGCTCAAAGATAAAAGCAAAAAAAAAAAAAATTAGCTTTCAAAAGACCCTCTACAAAGCAAATTTTAAGTTATCAAAGTGAAAGAATCAAGACTTTTTAATGCTTGAACAAAACTGGCTTTGGAAGATAATTGCCTTATTCCTATTATTGTAGCAGATACTTGTATCTGGGTAGGTGCAACATTTATTTATTCATCTACTGGCCTGAATATTCAGGAAATCTTATTAAAAGAAAAAGATGAGCTCTCCAGCAGGATTTGAACTTGCATCCCCTTGGGCAGAGGGAATAGTCATTAGATCAGATATGCTCTAGACTGACTGAACTACAAAGAACTTAACTGATCAGGTAAGACTGAAATGTGCCTCTAAATGAAATTCTTCTTGTCATAGGCTTTCAAAAGTATCAAAGTGTGAACTTGGCAATTTTCTAAAATAGATGATTTTATTTATTAATCTGACAGATTTTATCACTTTAAATGTTATTTTTAGTGAATATGTCTAAGCTGACAATGCATTTATTTATTTATTAAACAGTATGTTTATTTTCATCTGCGAGCCAGTATTTTCAAGAATACAAGTATCCACTAAAAATAATGTTTAGTGATAAAATCTGTTGGATTAATAAAAAAACATTACTTCTTTAGAAAATATAGCTATTTCTATAGCCATAAAGTAACAGTTTCCCAATGAATATTCTTGAAAAGAAAAAAGAAAATAATTAATACTGACTCATACATACTGTATTTCAAATGAACAATTCAGAAGGCAATAAAAAGAATATTAAATGATTATCTGATAAAAAGAAATTTAGCCATTCTTATTGCAATGAAATGACAACCTTATTTTACTCCTGTTTTAGGATCCAAATTAAAACCAAAATAATTAGCAAAACAGAATATAAGCAGGCCCCATATTTTGCTGTCTTATGGAGGAGAAAAACAAAATATTAGCATTTGAAAAATGGTACAAAAAGGGAAGAGATACTAATTGTAGAATCAAAAAAAAAAAAAAAAAAAAAAAAAATTTAACTCACCATTATCAATATCTACACGAGTTAACAAACATTCAATGTCATCAATATCCTGAGATATGACAAGATTCAGTTGCTACAGAAAGAAAAAAAAAAAAAAAAAAAAAAAAAAAAAGAAAAAGTAGAGCTAGAGGAAAAATCTTAGGCTTCAATTAAAAAAAAAAAAAGAAATAAAAATAAAAATAAAAAAAATGATAGTAAAGAAAGCAAAAATAGGTAGTTATCGGTTATCTTGGTAAAGAATCTTTTGTCCAAGTACCTGAGATTTAAGTTAAATTGTGATTTATTTATGACATCATGACCTTAAAAAAAAAAAAAAAAAAAAAAAAAAAAAAAAAAAAAATCTAAATTTTACTTAACATTAGACAAAAGTCCAATTGGTCATTTAAACAAAGAAATAAAAAGCAACTTTAGAATGGCACAAATAAACTACATCCATTTTCTAGTAATAGCATGCACACACACACATATATATATATATATATATATATATATATATATATATATGTGTGTGTGTGTGTGTGTGAATTACACACTTGCACCTAACGGACAAAGAGAAAATATGGCCAGCATTAGAAATTTTGCTCATCAGGAATTGTATTTTAGTAGACCTCCCATCTATTAGCCCATCTGAAACAGTCACAAGATTGTAATTCCTTCAAACTATCTTTCATCCAATAACATTAAAATTGGAATCAAGAAAACACTTACATGTGATTTATTTCCTTTCAATCTGTCCAATGTGACATACAGGGCTTCTCTGGCTTTGGTCAACAGCACTGTGTAATGGCTATGGTTATCAGACGTGGTTTCTTCTCGGCCCTTTGCATTGTGTTCATTCAGAGCTAATTTTCTATAAATCTGAGAAAAGAAAAAAAAGAAAAAAAAAAAGCAATTTCAATATAGATTTACAGACATACACTTTCTAAAGCATAGTCCCAATCAGGAGACCTGAATGAGGTCAATGAGACAATTTAGTGGATCGATAAAAGCCTGGTGAGCATGGAGAGAGAGGGGGGGGTTAAATTGTGCTGACTTAAAGATTTTTTTTTTTTTTTTTATAAACATGCTCATTTTAGGTCAATGAAAGCTTAAAGATTCAATGAAGGTGGCTTATCCATTTAAAGATTTTGGGAGCCCTGGTCAAGATTTAAATTGCTGAAAAAAGCATTTCAGTTTATCTAGCATATTGAAGGAAAAATATTTTAAACATCTGTAAAGAATATCAAGAATTAAATCGAATGAATCAAAAAAAAAAAAAAAAAAAAAAAAAAATGAATCCATGCCCCCACACAAAAATAGCAGATTAAAAGGTGATTAGAATCAATGCAAATAACTAATTAGTAAATATTTCAAAAGATTAATTTTTCTACTCTTTATAAGGAAAGAATCAGAAGCCAACATCATCTTTACCTGAGCAGCATGATAGGATGCCCAAGGATTGGTAAGGTTTTCAAATCGCTTTATGGCCTCCTCATATTCCCCCCTCCTCATGAAGCAAAGGGCCAAATGATACTCGGCATCACTTAGCATCTCTTTAATCTGGGAGGAGCTCAACCGGTTATCAGAGTCTTCAGCAAAAAGCCGTTCTTTTGGCATTTTCAATACAAGGTTCCTGGAAAGAAAGAAATGACCGACAGTAGCACCACATGCACGCAATCTCGTTATTGTTTGAGGAAGTGTAACTTCTTGTTTACATTTATACATGGTATTATCTACATTAGATTCAGTACCGCTCTCAAGCTTGAGCAGAAAGGAACAAATGATGATTACCACCCCAAAATCGTTTATGCCATTTAGAAGAATGTAAAGAATTGATATGAAAAAGGTCATACTATATTAGAACAAAAAATGTGTTTGAAAAGTTGTTTAAATTTTGAAGTTAAATGATAATCTGCAGTTTTTTTGTTTTTTTAGGTAAAAAGATACCCAGGAAAGAAAAATTGCATTGCAATAGAATGTAAAAAATAAGTAAAAAAGTGAAAATTTATTTCCTTTTAATAAAAGGAAAAACAGATTTCACCCTAAAGATTTTTTTTCATAAAAATAAATCCATGGCAAATTTAACTTACAACACTTCAAATATATTAAACAAGTAGCAAAATAATGTAATTATTTATTGAGGCCAAAAAGCCATGCATTTTTACAAATTTCACCTTTGAATTTTCGTTAGATGAGATTTTGTCCAAACTCATTCCTCCATCCCATTAACCCACCCTACACACACACACTTTGACTGAACTCTGGCATGTGTCATGCCTCCAATTTGACAACATGATGCTACATTGAAGGAAAAAAAAATGTGCCACCTAACCAAAACATTGTACAGGTGAGGAATGGATAAAGACTATTAGTCCCAACAAAACCCACGTACAATTTGGTTCTGTATCATTTTTAAGCAGATAACCTGTCCTGTATTTGTGCAGACAGAATTTACATTGTAATGGTAAAATAAAAATTAATTTGGTGCAATCATCTTTTACAAAATCTCCTTGAAAAATAAAATCAAGTGTCATTTACTTTTGAAGTCTCTGTAGTAAGGGTAAAGCAGCATCCCAATAAAAAGCTGCACGCTCTTCAAGTTCTTCCAGTTTATTGAAGGAGCCATGGCCATTGTCAACATCTTTCTTCATTTTAGCAGCCTGAAAGTTAAGATTTTACAAGATTAAAAAAAAAAAAAAAAAAAAAAATACAAGTTTACAAGAAAGCTAACTTAAAATGGTCAGAAAAAAAAAAAAAAAAAAAAAAAAACACACACAGAACTGGAAAATTTATTTATCTCTCAATTTAATCTAAAGAAGTATTTTTGGGTTATGTACATTCAGAATAATAAATAGACAATTTTAAGAAACGAGAAGCAAGCGATCAATGATGAATCTATAATATAAACAATTCCACAAGTTCTAGGTTTTAAAATTACCAGAAAATATTGATAAATAAAAATGTTGATAGTCATAAAAAATGCACTTTAAGTAAAATTGGCAAGTATGAAATACAGAATATAAATTATTAAACAGAATAGTAAGCCAAAGCAAATAGGATAATGAGTGTACTTTAAGCACATTGTCACGAAATGAGTTAGGGAGGGGGTTGGGAATTTGCATCATAAATTTAAAAGACAACAGAAAAGTATTCAAAGCTTTTTTTTTTTAAAGTACTGCTGAAATGAATATTTAATTTGAATTCTACAACTTGAAAAAAAAATAAAAAAAATAAAAAAAATAAAAAAAAAAAGATATAGAATAAAAAATATTGATCTTTAAAAAAAAAAAAATATTCTTAACACATCCATAGAAAGACAGATTCACTTTTGGGGTCCATCACTATTTCGCTCCCGACAGATTCCACTATTAAATATCATACTTATATAAAATTAAAATATTTCAGACACAATTGCTATAAAATACTACATAGCAAAGAAACCAAGATGTATACACAAATTTATCATGAAAATTTGACACCAGACTAAAGAAAAGCTATGAAACATGGATAAAATTCTGATACATGCATAATTTATAGGTACCTCCACGAGATTGAAAAAAAAAAAAAAAAAAAAAAAAGAAGAGCATAGCATGATGAAAAAGACTCCAAACTTGCCGAAAACAATATTATCATCGGAAGGAGAAAAGTGAAATAATTTACATTTAAGTGAACAAATTATTTACCTCGTTATTTTTTAAGGAAAACTTTCAGTGCTCTAATTTTTTTTTTTTTTTTTGTACTTAGCTTTCACCATTACATTTACGATGCTTTATGGAAAATATATTATAAAGAAATTAAAATAAGACTGTTAAGAGTGACATTAAATTTCATAAGAAAGGTATCTAATTAACTTATAGGTACCTTTCTTATGAAATTTTATCAGAAGTGTACATAAAATACTATAATTTTATGTACATTTATTACATTTTACTGTGTTATTTGTATTTCCATTCATTTTATTATTAATTTTGATATTTCATTTATGGAAAAATGTTATAACTGAGATTAATATAAAAATAAGATCATATAAATTTCATAAGATGATACTGATACTTGTAGGTACCCTTCTCAGTTGAAATTGAAAAAAAAAAAAACTAACTTCTCCACATGTGTTTCGCAAAAGTAAAGGCCTTAACAGCGGAGAACAATGCTTAACTCAAATAACGCAACTTAATTGTATTCTGGTTGGTCTTCCGTACTTTATAATTACAGCCCGATTATAGACACAAAATTACATTTCTTAATTACTGTGGGTCTTCTGATTAATCAAAACGATACAATTTACAACGCGCTAAAAAAAGATCTATTTCATAAGCACACTTATGAAAGTGGATGCAGCTTTTAACTAATTTTATAATATTTTAACAACTTAAATGTAAAAATCTATTATAATTAAAGAAATAACAATTACATTCATTTTTTTGCTTTCAGAAAATATTGTCCATATTCATAAAAACAAATAAAAGCATTTGAAATTAAATAATATCTTTGTTTTATTGAGTTTTGTATGTTACAATCCAGAGCTGATTTTTAGGTGTGTGTGTGTGTGTGTGTGTGTTGGGGGGGATTGGGGTCCAATTAAAAAAAAAAAAAAAAAAAAAAAAAAATGATTTCCATTCCACAAAGCCTTGTGCTTTTAACTACTGTAATCATTAAACTAGACTCAATCGAATTTCTAGCATTTTCATAAAATTAGTTTGGGGGGGGGGGGTAATAAACATAAAAAAAAACTTTCTGCCATGATTTTAATTAAAAAAACAATTATAATTTCGATCATCTGTGAATAGTTCCTGAAAGTTTCATTAATATCCAACAATTATTTTTATTTTTGCAAGATTTTCCAAATTAATGTGTGTCATACCAAAAAAACGTGCTAAAAATTGTTTATGTTATTTACTAGTTCCGCTGATACAAAGAGAAACAAATTTTTTTTAATCAAAATTTAGAATGTTCTAAAAAGGAAAAATTTTTTTAAATAATTAAAAAACCTTTGGTCTTTCCTCTTAATAACAAGCATTTAGACGATAAAATTTTGTTTTCGGCAAGGTTGGCGCCTTTTTCATCAAGCTATGCTCTTTTTTTAGCAATTTCATGGAGGTACCTATATAACAAATGAATCAAAGGTTAATTTGGTTAGGTGAAGTCTACTCCTATTACTGCTTGATGATGGATGTGTGAAAGCTGTCAAGTGAATGGCTTCCTTTTGTATGGGCTTACAGTCAAATTATACTGAAAACACTGGTTATCATTCAGGTGTCATAGTTAAGCAGTGTGTAGCCTGGTCAGTTCTGAGATGGAAGACCATCTAAGAACACTTGGTATTGTAATTGATCTACAGTTAGAAGTGTTTCTGCTTTAAATAACCCACAAGTTGACTAAGTCCCAATAGGCACTCAAAGCACAGGGGCTCCCTGAGGGAACACCATTTATCACAATAGGTGAAAATTCAAGGTGTGCTAGCTGAAGGAACATCAGCAGTTTGGTTTTCAAGACATTGAAGGAGACCAGCTGGTTTATTCCCCATCACCGAGCTGTTAAAGCTTGGCCAGAGAAGAGATCAGCTGCCAAACTCTGGTCACGTAGAATTTGGGAGGTGCACCCATATACCACTGTATTGTCAGCATTGTCACAAATGAAATTGGAGTAAACTCTTCAGCAGATCATTTATGTAAAATAGAAAGAGGGTTTGACCAAGAAGTGAGCGTTATGGGATAACTGTGATGATCGCTTGGGCCTTGGAAGACTGACCATTAACAACTACCTACTGTTATGAAGGGCTTGATAATTGAAAAGACTTTTCCAGTGATTCCATAGCTGAGAGAGCTTATGTAATAAGCCTCTATGCCACACCCAATAGTTGGGAAGGGAACAGCCTTTTGTCATCTAATGTTAAGTTAGAGGCAAAAATCATAGAGCTTTTCAGTATCTGACAAGGACAAAATGACCTCAGGGCCATTTAGACAGACTATGCTATTCAGAGATCTTTCAGAACTCTATGGATCCAAATTGTTTGCTTGTGCATAACTACACTTTGCATTTTCTAGAAGTCTCTTCCAATGGTTGTGGGCAGTTCTGAATGCATAAGGTGTCCAACTACTTCTGTTCCCCTGTGATAGATATTGTAGTGGTGGTGGTGGTTAAGGTGGCTGCAGCACATTCAAGTATGAACCAGGGTTGTCTGTTTCATCTTTGTAGGAATTTTTTTCAAGAGTATAAAACTCCATTCCAGGAAGGACCCATTCTGAGAAAGCTGGAGTTCCACCTCTGGAAAGTGGGAACATAGACACCTGACAGTGGTGTAGATGGTGAACCCAAGGCCTACTTGTGTTTTGTGAGATTGCGTTTAATTTTCATTATTCAAATTTTGTAGACATATTTAAAAATCAGCCTGTTTGAGAAGACTAGGTAGTGTGACAATCACACCCACAGGAGTTGCATGCCTCAACAACCTGAATTGACTGGATATACAGCATAACAGTACACTTCATCATGGCATTGAGAGCCCCCCCCCCCAACCAGAGCCTACTACAGTTCAGAACATATCAGAAAAATGGCAGTACAATAACTTCAATATTATACATCTGCTGATAGGGATTCAGACCTTTGAAGGAAGCTATCCTAACTACCAGGCAGATAATGCCAAAGTGTTTACCTCCAGCACCTTTAGGGAAGGAACAAATAACTCACAAAAGATACAGGTGTGATACTCTGAGTACATGTTCTATCTACCTTGAAATTTTCTTTGAATCAGAAATATTGTACAGGTCAAAGACCTCAAGTACTGAGACAAACTTGCTTACACATGAGGACTAAAAGAAGTGGAGCTTTTTTTTTCTTTTTTTTTTTTATTTCATTTCTTTACAATATAGTTTTCTGTCACTCAAGCTACTGCTGATCCAAGGAAAACTGACTTTGAAGCCATTTAAATTGTTTTGCAATATGAAAATTTAAACATACATTTGCCATTAAAGAAAGGAAACCCATAATACAAACACTTTTCAAAATCAAACTTTTTTTTTTAAAAAAAGGCATTAACATCTGGTCATACGTATAAACAGAGTACTTCTTTAATACACTATATATTATTATTTATAAAATAATAAGTGATCTTGATAAGACACCAAGGATGTTGAAACAAAATGGCTATTTTTGTAATGATTTTATAACATTTATGTTATAATTTTTTTATAAGTAATAATTATATCTGCTCTACTTTGTATTGAGCACTCTTAAGAATAGTAATTGTTGGTTATTGGAATTCATTCCGTATATACCAATTATATATATATATATATATATATACACACACACACAATATTCTGTATTTAAGAAATCTTTTAAACAAGTCTTGTTGAATATTGACATGGCCTGTACATTTTTTTTTTTCAAATTTCCCTTGTTTTTTACAATTATAAAAGGTCTGCTGAATTTTAACTTTGAGAGATTTTATATCAAAGTGTGTATAAAATAAATAAGAAAGCCAAAGAGTAAAAAAAAAAAAAAAAAAACTGGCAACAACTGTAGCAACTAAAACTTAGTTGTAAATTTGAAAAAGAAAAATGGACAGAAGCCTTGTCAGTCAAATATTCCTACTCAAACCTAGTAATAGAGCAGATAAAAAAAAAAATAATTTAAAAGAAATGCTACTGACCCGAGTCTGTAAAGTACGGGCTAGATGAGTGATCAATGTTGCTGACATGCCATGACTACCGACCAGTCGCACAGTATCCAATCCTCGCATGAGAATCAATCTCATTTTTGTGAAATTTTCTCTGAAAAATTAATTTCATAGGTAGACGTATTACAAGTAACAAATCAAGCAAGGAGAAAACAAAACAAAAACAAAACAAAAACAAGATGCTTTACTTACGTCTCAACTTTATCCCCCAACTTGCATGCAAGCTTCCACCAATCTGCCTGTTCTTGAGTACAGAACTGCCTGCAGAGAACTCTTGGCAGCAGATGAGGTTGATGAGGCTCAGGTCGCACTTGTTGCAGCTGCTGACTTGTGCAATAGACTGCACAACACAAGAATACCTAAAGAAAAAAGAAATCAACCAACATATTGAAAGGGAAGGTTACCTTTTATATAAGAAATGCTTACAAATCAGTCCTATTTTATAAATAGTCTGCCTTTTAACCTAGAGCATCATATACCCCTATGTTACTAAAATAGGTAAAAATGAGAAAAAAAATAAAATATATAAATTACTAATTTTTATCAACCAAATATTGACAATGAGTCCTAATTGACTAAACTTGAAAAAAATTATGCTGTCAGAAAATTACCACACAAAAATGCTTACTTCCATATCAAGTTGGCAGAGAGATTCAATTCCCTGGTGTAAACCACGAGATAAATTTCTACTTGAATAGTGGAGGTTGTCAAATAAAGAGAAGTTATCTGAAAAAAAAAAAAAAAAATTCATAAATATAGTAAAAACTCCAAAAAAAAAAAAAAAAAAAAAAAATTAAATTTTAAAAATCAATATTTCCTAACTTTCCTCAACTGAAGATTATAGCCAGAGCTAAGATTATAATTAAATTTATACAAATAAAACAAGAAAAAGAAAATCCAATCAATTTTAAATTCTGTTGACATAGAAATATATGCCAAAATTAGTATTTCTTGAAACTCCTAACTACTATTGTTTACAAATTATTCAGTCCTTTAAACATTCAAAATTACTTACAGGCAGGTTGACTTTCATCTTTTGCACTGTTGAAATGATGTAGACTCAACCAGACTATATTGTTTAGGTCTGATGGATTCAAAAGGTGGGCAGCTGTAAAATTTATAACAATAAAATTAAAGACAACTCATGTGGAATTAAATCATGAAGTGAAAACAAACAGAAAATTGTGTAGAAAATACAAAACATTCATATTGAAATTTTTGGATGTGCATAAGTAAATATTTCTTAATCTGAATAAAGCTTCAATATTTGAGGATGAAAATTTAAAATGTATGTTGAAGCTAAACAGTTCAAAACAGGTTCAGATGTGAAAATAATTCAAAATCAGGCCATTAAAACCTCAACACTTACACCCAAATCTTGAATTTATTGCAGAAAGTCAGGACAGATTTATGAATTAGTCAAAATGAACACGCAAATATTAAAATGGAGAATAGAGAAAATCTTGCTTGAATAAAAGAAAAAAAATTTTTGCTGGCTTTTGTATATTGACTAAGCATTGAATATTATTAACGACAGAAGCCACCTTACAAATTGTCAGTACTTAGCCTTTTTTTTTTTGGGAGGGAAAGACCAAATATGACAGTGGATGTTTTTTTTTGTTTTGTTTTTAACTTGAAGGTGGTACATAGGTTTGTCAATAGCCATTGGATGTATCATCAGTTCAGTACTGAAGGGGTACAAGGATTCCAATGAAGTTTAGAGGGGAGAATTTTTTGTAAAATTAGATTTCAAAGAAAGATCCTTATTCTGCACTTGTGCAGAAACTAAGATTTATCAAACACAGAAATGAGCAGCAAAATTCTCAATCCCTGAAGTGTACAACTGAAAACAATAGATGACCTTCCTCTTGGAAAACTCTGAAGGGAGAAATTAGCCTTTTAAATTTTAGAAATAAAAACTTCTATAAAAAATAAACCAAATGAACTGAAACTCTTAAAACCCTAAGCGATAAGGTCAACACACAGTCAACTTACCAAAAGGGATTTGTATTAGAAAGAAGTGTGTGTGTGTGTGTGTGTGTGTGTGTGTGTGTGTGTGTGTGTGTGGGGGGGGTCAAAGAACAATAAAAATACGAACTTACAAGCATCATACTCAGCAAGCTCTGCTTTGGTGGGTACAGCAGGTGCTGCCATGTTACTAAAGCCACAGTCAGAAAGCAGGAAAGACTTGTCTCTGACACTGCGCATTTCTCTAAAGGTGAACAGCAGGTCGTACAGACGCTCCTTACCAGTAGGGGTACCGTAACGAGTACGTAGGTCATTCACCCAATTGGAGGAATGCTTCTTTGCAATTTCACTTAAAACATGACCTGAAAATAATTATAAAGGGAAGACAAATTTAAATAAAATACAACTTGATGAAATCAGCTTTAGAATAGTCAAAAAGCAACAAAGGTCTCAAAGTACTATTGAGAAATGTGAAATCTGTTCAAGTTTGTTATAATAAAGTATATGGTTTGGTATAAAATGACAATTTTAAAACTAACGTGCAAGGAAAAAAAAAAAAAAAAAAAAAACGATGATACTGACCGCCTTGTGAAAGCCGATAACATCCCATCTTGTGTAGATGGCTCAAGAACAATCTTTTAGAGCCATCACCTCGTAGATACCATTCGCTTTGTTTGTCTACTGGCTGATGATTCTCACTGACAAGGTAGCAAATAGAAGCCAAGGTTTCTGCTTCTTTCCATGTCAATTGACCCTTAAAGTTACAGAAAATTTTATATTACTATACAGAAAAAAAGCGATTTTTTTTTTTTAAATCTCGGAATTTAATATCGACAGACATTTTCACAAATGAAGGAATTTTGCATACCTTGAGAGCTCTCTTGAACAATAATGTTCCACCAAAAAAGAAAAAGTATCCTTTCATTTCTGTCAGAAAAGCTCCCCACTCTGGTTGCCGATAATCCATAGTAGCAGCAGTTAACAGTAATTGGTCAAATCTGGAGACAATTGTTTAAACAATTACATGGGAATATAATGTATAGAAATGAACTTGAGTATTTGTAATTGAATAAAAAATAAAATGCAACAAATCTGTACAAAGTAAATTACAAACAAAACCCAATTTTATCTTAATAGAATTAAACTATCTCAGAATAAAAGTAATTATTTTATAACAAATCTTAATCATTGAAATCAATTTCCAAGATGAATATTCACAAAACTTAAAACTGAAACAACCAAGTATATTTAAAAGGCATTTCCAAAATTAGCTTGTTTGCTGCCTACAAATATTCAACAACTATCAAGTGCATGACCAAAGCTAGACTTTTTAAAAATTCTTAAAAACATTAACATTTCTATTTTCTTAGATTTCAATTCAAGACTTCATATCTAGAACAATGCTCATCTTTTGTAAAAACTTTTCTACATTATGCAGCTAGCAAAATTCAACTTTAAATAGATAAGAGATAAGGGGGAGTATAAAAAGTTATGTTCTCAAATTACAGATTGAATTTAAACAGCTGAAATAAATCTCAGCAAGAAGCTAAGTTCCTCTTGCAGCCATAGATGAAGGTCAAATGGGGGGGAAAAGCTAGACATAATTGAAACATTAATACATGATTCTGACAATGGTAATTCATGTTAGAAAAGCATTTTCAATAGTATTTAATTACTCACACATGCAACGCTTGAGAAGCATCACTGACATCTTTATACTGAAGCCAGAGCAGTATTTGTTTGCAGTGGACAAACATTTTATGAATGTAAACATTTGGGCCTGACGTCTGCTGTTCAATACTATTGGCAACTATTGGACACTGAAAAGACAAATATAAAAAATTACAGAAGCTAAGGAATCATCTGTTGAGGATAAATTATTGAATATAATACCTAATAGAAAATCAGGTTTGTCAATTCAAATGTGTGTTTAGTTTTTCAGTTTCTTATCTGTAAGGTTTTAAACAAAGTGTTACAAAGCAATATCTTCATTCATACAAATATAAAGAAACAGTATAGTAGGTTCCGTGATGAGACAATTAATCGGAATCAAGAATATGAAATATCAGAACTTTTGAGGGTTTTGAAATTGGAGAATTTTTAACCTAATTTCAGATTCCCAAAAAGATTCTTGGGAGTTTTTTTTTTTTTTTTTTTTATTTAAAACTTAATTTTCCATTCCTGGCACTAATGATAAAAAGATATATTTGATTTTCAACTGTCAGCAAAACTAAAATCTATAGGCCATAATAACACCTAAGTATGATGTAAAATTATTTTGTGTAAAAAAAAAAAAAAAAAAAGTGAAAAGATGCAAGTTTCTACTCACTTCTCAAACTTTCCTAGTTTAAAGTCTGTTCCAGTACAAAATAAAATTTTTAATTTCTTTATAAACATCATTAAATTCATTAATTTAATAATTATAATCAAAATTATGTAATATAAACAAAAATTTCTCCTGCCAAGATTTCTTAAGACATTTTTTTTTTTTTAGATTTATAAGGAAAAAAAAAAAAAAAAAAAAAACCTGAAAAAAAATGGAATTCCTGCCAATGTCACAAATTGTCTTTGTGGTGAGGCAGTTAAATTACAACAATTTGTTTTAATAGTTTTAATCCATAAAATCATTTTTTTTAGTCTTGGTTATTGAAAAGATTTTGTTTACATAGCATACTGCAAAGAACAAAAATCTTTTCAATAACTGAGACTTAAAGTAGACATTTTTATGAAACTTAGATTTGTTTCTACAAAATTTATGTATTTCTTAAAATTTTATAGCTTTTGAAACAGATTTTCATCTTTACTTAAAAAGAAAAAAAAAAAAAGAAAAAAATTATTTGAAGTTTCCCCAAAAAATGCTTTTTGACACAAAAGTTTGTATTAAAAAACCTAAAATTTAATTTCCAAAAATTGTATTTAATTTGACTTTACTAATATCTTTCTTTGGCATAATTGAACTTTCCTGTGTTAAATTATTTTGGCATTTAAAATATTTTTTTTACTTTTTTCCTTATTTATTCCTCCTCAGAGTCAAATGAGATGCAAGTTTTATTTTTCATAAGTAAAAGTGGATAAAAAGTATTTTTATCCTTTATCTGGCATGATTATGCTATAGTTTTGTTCCACTTAACATGATTTATTTTAATATCTTAAAAATAAAACTAGTAAATCTTGTAATAATTTTTAATCTTATTTTTATTTTAATGCTTTGTAACAGTTGAATCTCATACCTTATAAAATGATCAAGTTGTTGGATATTACTGTTATTTTGCTTTCAACTTCCTAATATTTTTTTTATTGCACTTTTTTCTTTTAACAAAAAAACAATTTTGATTCTTTTAGAAATTATTAAATTTGTTAGCTGTGAGAAATTTATTTTAGACAGTAAAACTTATTAGTGATTTTTATTTTTTTTATTTTTTAGGTAAGATTGAAGAGCCTACATTTATTTATTAAATTGATGTGATTAATTCATACTTAATTCTTATTAAACATCTGAAAACAAATTTAAGATTTGCATTTATTTTTTTTTTATTCACTGTCATGCAGGATTAGGTACCCGTTGTACTTTCAAAATATATGCAAGAGTCAGACTAAAATACATAGGGTGATGTCTTCCTGGTTAGAGTATTATCGTTGCAATATTAGGGTGTCTCTTATTTTTGAAGTACATGCTGAAATTGAATTGTCACCTCTAAATTTGTTCCATTCATTGAAAAATGTCACATAAAATTTTAAGGAGAGTGCATAATATTTAGAGAGGGCGCCTTTGCTTGTTAAAACTTAAAAAGGTGAACACAAAAAAATAAAAAAATAATAAATACCTTTTTTATTTTACAACTAATAGCAAACAGTTATTAGTTGAATCTTTACAAATTATACACATTAGAAAACTAGAAACATTTTTTATCTAATAATGCAAAATTTAAATTTTAACTGATGTTTATTTTCAAACCCCAATTATGGCAAGTGGATCCAATACCAAACAGAAAAGTGTAGTTTGGAAGTTTTTGTTTAAGATCTGATAATAACCAAAGTAAAGCAGTATATCAACTGAAGCTAGGTACCTAAGTGATTTACGTAAAGAAATTCTCTTTATTGTTTAAACTTAAACAATTTTTTTTTCTTTTTAAATAAAAAGGATATCTAACTATTTCATAAGCTTCTGTAATCATTTTTCTAATAAATGTTTTATTAATAAATGTACTTTGTTCATTAAGCTTCTCAAACCAACTACAGGGCCTGGAAATAATGAATTCTAATCATTGTAGGTATCAGAATCAGAAATTTAGAGTATCAGGAATTGTATCAAAATCAGTAAAAATATTGTCAGCATCCAATCACTAGTAGGTACCTCCACCTTTACGCTGTTAAAAAAAAAAAAAAAAAAAACAGCCTGGGATGATGCAAGAAGGCCACAAACTTAAAAAGAATGTTTTAACGCCAAAATGTTTATGCCATGATTAAGAGGAAAAACCAAAGTAATTTCTTATTTTATTGAATTTTTTAATTATTTCTAGCACATTGCAAATTTTCATTAAAATGTTTTGTTTTTACATCAGCAGTATACATAATATTTACAATTAGTGTTTTAGCATCTTTTTCAAGTGAAAAACACTGATTTGAATATTCTTGCAAAAATCAAATTCTTGGATTTTATATAAACTTTTAGGACTTATTCATAAATGAAATTTTTTTTTTTTTTAAACAAAGATTTAAAAAAAAAATTTTAAAATAAAGTTACTCCCACTTAATTTCATATTTGAAGAAATTAAATTTATGTAGAAAATATTGTTTTATTAGTTAAAAGCAGGACTGCTTGGAAAATGTAAAATTTTAATTTCCTGAAAACCTGCTCCGATTTGTAAAATAAAAATGCAGTAAAACTGACATTAACTAGAAAAGCTTTTAATTGCTTTTAAAAATAAAATTTAAAGACACTATTGTCTTAAGAAAAAGATTTTTTTTGAAGAATTATTTTTATTTTAATTATAATTTATAATATATAAAACTTAAAAATTCTGTATTAATGTATGCATTAATTTTGATATATTATCATCAAAAACTATATCTACTAATCAAAAATTGAAAAACTTAATGCAAAATATTTTGCACCAAGATTTTTAAAATCATTTTTTATTTTTTATATGTATATAAAATATTACATATATGTACTCATTTAAAAGTATGGTCAACCATATATGACATTATCAGAAAATAAGAGCAATGAGTATAGTAAATTTAAAGTCAACACTGCTAAAATTAGATTACAGCAAATATTTTCCAACATCTTTAAGATTGCTAAGAACTTAAAAATTATGAAAAAAGGCTCTCACCCATCATTTTCTTAAATTATGTTTTAACAGATAACGTCTCTGTAGAACAACAATAAAGGTTTTGACACATTTATTAGCACTTGTTGAGTAATCTACAAGTAACAAGTGTGTAATCACTGCTACTGCTAGTTTTAAAAAAATCCATTTCTCTATTATCTTAAATATTTTTTCAAATCAGATTAATTATACTTTAAAATCAGCTAATATTCCTCAAATAAAGTTTCAAAAAAGTTTATTTCTGGAAGATTTTTAAAACAGAATTAACTTTTGTTTACAAATGTGTCAAAAAAAAAAAAAAAAAAAAAAAAAAAAATGGTCAATTTTAATGACTGAAAGCAACCAAAAAGTTGAGATATCAATTAATATAATTTCTATATGAAATACAAAGTATTTTGCTTACTGGAAATAGTAAATTTAATCATTTAGCTTTCAATTAAATCTAGAATGAATGCTTCAAGAATGCTTTTTCATTTTAAAAATTCATTTTAAACTTTAAGTAGCAAAAATTAGTGGAGGTACCCAATTTATAGGTTTGTTTAGTATGACAATACAATATCAATTGTTATCTTGTTTTAATTCTTATCCTTTGTCTTCAATCCTTAATAGTATATTCACTAACATTATGAAACTAGGTAAACAGTTCAATTGAAAATTGGCTTAAATTGTGAAATAAGGACACAAAGAGCATAATAATCCAGAGAAAGTTATTTAATCTAAAATCAAATCTGTTAAATATTTAAGTAATAATAGTCGACTTACAGCATAGAATTCAACAAGGTAGTCATACCACTCAATATTGAAGTCAAAGATTCGCAAGGAGTCCACCGAAATGGCATATTCAATAGCAGCATCCACTTTTTTGGAATTGATGTAGAGCTGCAGCAGTTTGATATGGATTCGGACATTTCCTGGTTTTTTAGCCTACAAACATTTTTAACAGGTATAAACTTTAATCCACAATAATATATAATTCAGTAACTGGTCAGAGGAATTTTTGTTAAACACATTTAACAATATAAGGGTTAAAAGATCACAGATACAAACCTATGGTATTATAGTAAAAGTAAAATCAATACTGCACCAATTTTTTTTTTTTTTATAAAATAAATACAGGGAAGGTAGGGATAGACATTTTTAACACCTGAAATTACAAAACCTGAATTCTAACTTATACAAGTAAATACTTCATTCATTTCACTTAAATGTTAACCACTTCAAGGCAATGAAGAGAACACTGCGATCTTGGAGAAACAGGGAGAAAAGGACAATTTTCAAAGAATTTGGGTTTAACATAAAAAAAAAAAAAAAATTCTAATAGTTGTAACCAATATTTTTTTTTAGATATCCATTAGTGATTAATATCAAAATATTGCCAGTTGACAAAAAGACTTTCTACAAAATCAATTATAAAATTAAGATATACAGTTTTATTTTACAAGAGTTGTTAAAGAACTAGCAGGACTTATGCAAATCACAGATTTATTGAAATATTTTAAAGCTGCACTTCATACTTTTCAATCCCTGACACTTCTCAGATAGTTATAAGTAACAGTTGCTTAAAAAAAAAAAAAAAAAAATGCTAAAATGCCCTGAACAGGTCATTAGATCACAAAACATGATCTAACCCCTCACTAAACAACTGCCTCTATTTAAGATGGCCACCTCCAATCCCTCTCTGAATTGCATTCCTTTTGTCTATGTCCCTCTTTTTTCCATTTCCCTCTCGGACACTCAACAACTTGGATTTAATAGAATTATGACACACTATAAGTGTACTTATTTATATAAGTAAATATAAATCACTGAAAATGTTAAACGGAATTGAAAGAAAAAAAACTTACCAGCTCACTTTTGAACAAATTTGCCATTTCAATTGGATTCCCTTCACTCTCAGCACCAACTATTTTTTCCTATAAGTATAAATTAATTATAAAATATAAATTAAAAGTGCAAAATGGCAAAAATCTAAAGTTTAATAAAAGGTAATTGAAAAATTAATAAGTAAATTGAAAATAAACCTAACTCACCTTCAAATTGAAAATTATTTCATTTGTAGGGAACATGGACTCTGCTCTTTCCACCCAATACTGAAATAAACATTTAAGATTCAAATAAAACATTGGAATTAAAGATTCAAATTTTAATATTTTTTAACCTTTTGATTCTTGCACAACTGAAGTTTTATAAACAATATAAAAGTAAAAAATCCATAAATTTCTAACAAACCAAATGTCACTAAATTGCAACAATTACAAGGATTGATCAAGAATAAAGCTATTATGTCAAAGTAAACAGCTGTATATTTTTCATAGAAAACTTTGACCATAATGGACTACCCCCCCCACTCAACTTCTGGTCATAGTCAAGCAAAGAAAAAAACTATGCAATGTTCCATGAGGAAATATTTTGTAAAAATAAAAGGTTATAATTTCTATATTTTAACTCCTTGTTGCTAAGGAGAGGATTTGGCACATTTTAAATGTGCAAGTAATTCCCAGATAAGCAATTCTTCAAAGAATATTAATTCAATGATTAAAAATGTATTGCACAAAAGTTTAGAGACTAGATCCTTTCTTCAAATTCCAGCTAATTTGTCACATCTTAAGTGATATCTTATATTCTGGAAGATCTACCTCAGAGAGAATAGTTTATCCAACATTCACAAGTTCCAAAAGGTTAAGAATTAAAACAGATATTAAGATATGTTCAAGATTGAATTTTTATCCATTATAAAAACAAAAAAGCGGCCACTTACCCGGATAGTTCCAGGAGCAACTTCTATTTGGTTGAGTAATTCACAAACTAAAAGTTAAAAAAAAAAAAAAAACTCAAATTCAGATTGGAGGTGGGAAAAATATATTTGAAGCTATGAAGTGTAAAAACATTTCACAAGAATCAGAATGTGACCCTCTATTGTCAGAACATATCTACATAGAAGAATAAGCTCTTGTATGGGATGTATGTAACAAATGTCATAAAATTTGGTACTTGAACCATTTATCCTCCTTAAAAGTCCAAACCTTTTGAACATTGACTGAACTAATCCTACGGTATTGATCAGAAACTTGGGCATTATCTGTTCATCTTGAAAGATGACTGAATGGAACATCTACTTAGAAAAAACCAGAACATCAGTTGGAGATCCTATGCAACACTTAACACAATTTAGAGAAAAGGCCAATCTTATGCTCAAACAAAAAGCAGACAGAAATCATCTCACCCTTACTCCTACGGCATCTTTCTGGAAGTGTCTTTGCACAAAAATTGACTTTCCCCAGACACCACAGCTCCGGACTCAGGGTTGGACATTGGGAATCTGAGTACAGCAATTCAGGACCAAACAGTGTGGAAAGGGATTGTCAATGGAGTTCTGACCAACCATAGGATGATGAAGGTGAGATTTTTATCTAGATCTCAAATGTTTAATAGCTAGTGGATAGGGATTGTTTTTTGAAATCTGGTATTTCAAGCAGCATTCACACTGACAGAAGGGGAATCAAAAAATAAAGGAATGAATGAACTTTGACACCATGCCACAACAGGTCATTTATCATTTCCAGATGTAGGTCACTATAATTAACAATAGGGACCCCTCCACTAAAAATGCAATACCTAAGGTTTAAAATCAATTTTTAAACTTACCTTTCAGGATAACATCTTTTTGATTCTCATTCAACTGTAAGCATCTGAAAAAAGAAAGAATAATTTCAGAAAAGAAAATTACAATGAAAATACTTTTTAGCATTCTAGAAAATAAGGGCAATTCAATTGGCTATAATTCCCATCTCATACTTCAATTTAGTAGGCAATGATCAGGTTTAAAAGGTTGTCAAGAGTTATGCCAGTTACAGAGGTATACATGCATACACACATATTTGTGTGTGTGAATAAGGTATATTTAGGTATCAAGTATCGATACCAAAAAGTGATTTGACAAGGTCTGTTTTCGTATTTTTTTCTCCAATTTCCAGATAAGGTGTTGAAAATTGTGCTCAAATTTGTGTAGAAACAGTCCAAAGTTCATATTTTGTAATTTTCTACTGCCACAGTCATTATAAGTACTTTTGACTACATTCATATAAGTATGTTCACAGTCATTATGAAGAATCAATGTAGTGCCTGCATCCTGGAATTCTTTGGGAATCCAGACATTTGAAATGGCATGACAATGAATAAGGCTATTGAGAATGAGGCCACACACAAAGAATGGATATATATATATATATATATATATATATATATATATATATATATATATATATATATATATAAAAACAATATGTGCACACATTAATTATATCATATACACTTCAGGATACCTTCTGTGGTAATTGCTTCTAGAGTTTTGAGTCTTTTCTTGCATTGGGTGCTGTAGATCGTTATCTACTAGTATTGTCTTATATCCATAGTTGTATTTCAGTCATTCATGATGTTTGCACAGATTGCAGTTTCAACTGGTGACAGGGCAATCTGCGGGAATGTAGTGCATGTGGGCACAATGCAAGCATTTGCTTTTTTATTATTAGTGTTACCAAATAGCCAAAATAGTATGTGACTGAAAATAGCATGAAGCTATTCATCCAGCAAGATGCTATGCAAACTCGTGGTAGGTACCCGAGTGTTTTGATTGGTGTAACAGATTTTGTTACAGATCATTTGCAACCTTTATGCTGGTCTTGTTACTCAGGATGGTTTGTTCTTGCAATAAAAACACTCTCCCATCATGTGCAGTTGACACAAAAATGGTTCCAGAAACTTTGCTGACTTCTAAAAAAAGAACAGGATTATGTTATAGATAACCCCAGAATGTGCCTTAATGGATATATGGCCATGCAAGGAGTTCAGTACCTTATAGATGCAATGCCATATCACATAGCCACTATTATTCAAGCAAAGCAACAAGCCACATTAGATAACTGCTTAACATTTTGGCACTTTAACAAATAAGTTAAATGTTAAAATTCAGTACCGAGAGAATTAAAAAAAATTACATCTATGGATAGCAGAAAACAAGATGTAACACTTTGATAAATCTTATACTTTGAGACTCTCAAAGATACAGTAACTGAAGATGCACGTTTCCTACCATACACGATTCACTATTCTAAGAGATTGAAAATCTTGGAAGCATAGAGAGCTGAATCCAAATTCACATTTATTTTTCCGTTTTAATTAAACCATAAAGCAAAATCTTTAATTCAAATGATTGCAGGAGAGAAAAAAAAAGAAAAAACATTTTCAACAATTATAAAAATACTATATTTTACACTAAATACAGAATCTTAGAAAGCAACAAATTCAATAGACCTTTCATAAGATGAAATTGCTCTTTTATAATCCTTGAGGCTTTCAAAAATTTGACCCATGAGTTTGTGAGCCTGGGGTACTGCTTCTCTAACATTGAGGAATGCCGTGAGATACCTAAAACAAAGAAAAAAAAAGTTTAAAATTGAAAATTAATTCAGCCAGGCTTAGGACTAATTTTGTAATCAAAACACTGAGTGAGACACTGAGGAAAAAAAAAAAAAAAAGCTAGTCAACCCACTTAATTCAGAAAGAATCTTGACTGAAATACCAACATATTCACTTCAAACATAATATTCTAAACTTTATAAACTACTTGATATTACTAATCAACTAAATACAGCATAAAGATAAATGATTGTCAGAAGATTGTGATGCACCAATGTGAATGTAAAAATGATGCTATTCTGTTAGTTGATATTCATCTTTTGTGCACATAATTACTAGTGGCAGTGATATATACATAGGTGCCTCCACAAGATCGCTAAAAAAGAGCATAGCATGATGAAAAAGACGCCAAACTTAACAAAAACAAAATTTTATTGTCTAAATGTTTGTTATTAAGAGGAAAGATCAAAGTATTTTTGGGATATTCTTTTACATATTTTAATCATTCCTAGCACGTTTAAAATATGTTAAAAATCTTTTTTTTTTTTTTTTTTTTTTTGAGTCAGCAAAATTTGCAGATAATCGATTATGGCAAAGGTAAAGGCCTTAACAGCAGAGAACAATGCTTAACTCAAATAACACAACATAATTGTATTCTGGTTGGTCTTCTATACTTTATAATTACAGCCCAATTATAAACAAAATTACATTTCTTAATTACTGCCGGTTTTCTGATTAGTCAAAACAATACAATTTATAATGCACTAAAAAAAAAAAATCTATCTCATAAGGACACTTAGGAAACCTGATGCAGCTTTTAACTAATTTTATATATCTTAACTTAAAGGTAAAAATCTATTATAATTAAAGAAATAAATAATTGTATTAAAAATTCATTTTCCATTGAAAAATTTTTTTGCTTTCAGAAAACATTGTCCATATTCATAAAAATAACTAAAAGCATTTGAAATTAAATAATATCTTTGTTTTATTGACTTTTGTATGTTACAATTCAGAGCTGATTTTCAGGTTTGGTCCAACAAAAAAAAAAAAAAAAAATGATTTGCATTCCTCAAAGCCTTGTGCTTTTAACTATTGTAATCACTAAAGTGGACTATTGAATTTCTAGAGTTTTCATAAAATTAGTTGGGGGGGGTTAAAATATTTCTGCCATGACGTTAATAACAAAAAAACAAAATTCGATTATCTGTGAATAGTTTCTGAAAGTTTCATTAACATCCGACAATTATTTTTGCAAGATTTTCCAAATTAATGAGTGTCATACAAAAAAAAAAAAACGTGCTAAAAATTGTATATGTTATTTTACTAGTTCCGATGATACAAAGAGAAACAAGGTTTTTTTGTTTGTTTTTTCTTTTTTAAATCAAAATTTAGAATGTTCTAAAAAGGAAAAAATTTTTAAAAAATAATTAAAATAAACTTTGATCTTTCCTCTTAAACATTTAGATGATAAAATTTTGTTTGTCAAGTTTGGCGTCTTTTTCATCATGCTATGCTCTTTTTTTAGCGATCTCGTGGAGGTACCTATATAGTTTGATTTAAGAAATTTAGGATATTATATGGGTTAATATATTGTTTGCAACTTATATAAAACGTATTGCTGGTATTTTCACACTTTCATAAGGTTTTGTTTATGGAGTGAACGTGGCTGGGACCCTAACAGGTGCTACCACAATGGGTCAAAGTGGACCTGGGAACAACAGCAATTTAGGTTCTTATATCAAGTGAGCCAATAGGAAATGCTGACAACACCCATATACTCAACCATTTTAATTCTATTCCAATTTCCCCATACAAAATGGATCCACTTAAGAAACAGTGGGGAAAATACTATATTCTGCCCACCACTACTTTTTCATAAAAAAGTTGCTTTAAAAACAAAAGTGAAAAAAAAAAATCCAACAAATTATACCATGGTTTATAATAGCTCAACAAATCTCCATGCATTTCTGTTCACTTCAAATATATCCAGCCTAAATCCTTAAAACTAACTCTAAATGTAGCTCTGATTAAAAATTAATTTAAAGTGAAGGGTTAGGATTTTAAATTCCTCTCCACTCACAAATATCTCTAACAAAAGAAATAAAAAAATAAAATATAGCTGTGTTATACCTCTGGTAGAAAATACAGTAGTGCTTAGCTAAATATTTGAATATTTTAAATTCCAATTTTTGTAGCTTTAGTCAATTAAAGTTGTTTAAATGTTCAGGAGGAAAACAAAAATCCATCCTTGAATCTCATTGCAAAAAAGGAAGTTGTACATTATATAAATTTTAAAAAGAGTAGTATTAGTTTAAAACATTTCAAACCCCAAGCAAACAACTTATTTAACTCATTTAAGAGTTTCACTAACATATTTCATGCAAGTCATAGGCAACAGAGCTTAAACAAAGACCAAGTAGTTTTACTAACCAAATGTAACCAAGATAAAATTAGGTCACTAGATACTTTTTAAAGGTCAAGTATAAACCCTCACCTTTTGGCAATTTCATGCTCTCCAATTTGGTGATAAAGTTTAGCAATTTGGTAACCTTTTGAACTTTTCTGTAAAAGAAGAGAAAGCATTACAAGCCGAAAACATCACAAAATCATGACAAATGGACAAAGAAAACAAAACTGCAGCATTAAGGAAGTTTCAATTTTCAATCTTAAAACTGTTTTAAACCAGATCTGGCAGTAATTTCTTATAAGAAAAACAAATTCTGAAATATTGAATAAAAATTAAAGATTTTCACATCTGTACCAATTTCATCTGCAAATCATGCATATATCCTGTTCATCTCCAGACACTAGTAGGTTAAGAGCATCATATGCAAGTCAAATGAAATTCTGAAATAATAATACTCACCAATCCTAACAATTTGATTCCATTTAAATATTTTATAAAACAAGGATAAACACTGATTTAAACCATAATTAATTGAAGCGTAACATTATTATTCAAAAGGATAAAAAAATGCTGCCTTACTATAAAGAAAGCACATAAAATTCAATAACTATTTTCACTGGGTCAAATTAAACATTTATTACCATTTTTAACTTATTAATCAAAAATACTAGAAACTTAATTTTTCAAAGTTGTGTAAAAATAGTCACGCATTAATGTTACCACTTTACTCAATTCATTTGTAATGAAGCATCACCAAATTATTTCTAGTCTCAGCAAAACTAATCTACCATTTTTATTTATGCAAACCTTTAAAGTATTAGTTTTAATAATCAGTCATGATCTTTGGTAGAAAAGCTATATGCTGACCACTGAAGATGTTATTTGAGTAAGAGAGAAAAATGTACACTGAATATTTAATTTTTTTTCTTTAAATATTTAATTGTAATTTTTCAGTGCAATTTTTAAATTAATCCTATTGCTGTCCTTAAGTTTCCTTAACTAAATATAGACACAGATTTTAAAAATTGAAAAATATAAGTAATGCCATTTTTGAATTTGAACCATTTTTTTAAAAGACTATTTTTTTTTTTTATTCTTGCAAATTAGATTATTTTTGGTATAGAAATTCAAGAAGGAAAATTTAGAATCAACTTCCTTTGACTGAATACACTTTTCCTATAAGAAAAGTAATTCCATATTAATTTAATATCTATTGTTTTTAATCAGTTTTGTGTTTTCCAATAAAGATGTATACTTCATGCATGTGTTTACCTACTCATCTAGAATTTTTTTTTTTTTTTTTAATTTGACTGTAGTCAATGTTTAATGTTTTTTACAAACCAAACTTTACATATTTAGAAATGTCTGTAATTTTTAATGCAATTTAATTAAATAATATCAATTTTTCATTTTTTTTTTGTTATTTTAATAAAAATTAAATCAGGTGCAATTAAATTTTATGACATCAAACAGCAAGAAAAAGAAAAAAAAATGAAAGCAATGAACAAAATTAAAAAGTATCCTTTAGCTAGTTTTTAATCCTATTAATATTTTTATTTAAGAAAAAAAAAAAATTGGTTGTGTATAAATGTTGATTTTTTTTTCTAAATATGGACACCCATACATGAGATTATCAGAAAATAAGAGCAGTACCCAGAGTAAACTAAAAATTTATATTAGTAATTTAACATGCATCTTCATCTATAAAGCTTATAAAAAAAAAAATGTATCTAAAATTCAATAAAACGTTAGAATGCTTAAAATTTTAAAGATTACTGTTTAAAAAAAAAAAAAAAAATTAAATTTATATTCATGTAATATTTTTCCATTTCTGTCCCCCTTGCCCACTAACTGAAATCCCCCAAACAAAGCTGTCAATAAATCATTACACATCAGAAAAAAAAAAAAAAAAAAATGCTTTGATTTATTTCAAACTAAAACTAATATTTGTTTCAATTCAAATTAAACTTGAATCTTAAAATAAAGTTTCAGAAAGTATTTTAATTTTGAAACATTTTAGTAAAGCAAATTATTTTGTGTTGAAAGATCTGTCAATGTAGCTGAATTTATAGATTTTCCTGAGGGGAAGAAAAAATTCCTATCAATTAAATTTTGTTTGAAATACCCCAAAGTATTTGGCTTAATGGAAATATTAAATTTTAATTAACTTGGAATTGAAGATAAGATTAAAACTTCAAGAAAGAAGTTTCATTTTATTTTTAAATTCATTTTTAACTTTTGTATAGTTTTATTTTTTATTGAGATACGTAGCTTTAGGTTATCTAGGTACCTAAAAAAAGAAAAAAAATGGTATCTAATGTTTAAAATGCATTTTAAAAATGTCAATTTTTTCTTGAAGCTTTTATTTTTAGTTTTAATTCTAAGCTAATAGATTAAGTTCAATATTTCCAATAAACAAAATACTTTGCTGCATTTCAAAGCAAATTTAAATTGATAAAATTAGCCATATTGATAAATCTGTCAATACAAAAATTCTCTTTATTAAAAATCCTTTCAAAAATAAAATATTTCTGAAACTTTGAAGATTCAGTTTTAAAGCTTAATCTTAAAAAGATTACTTTTAGATTAAAAAAAAAAAATTCCGGAAAAAATTTTTCTTTCCTTTTTTTCATGAAGTTGGTTGTTTTTATGTAGTGTTGACTGAGTTATCTATAACAATGTAAGTATTGTCAAAGAAACATGATAACTAAGGTTTAAAATGAAATTTTAAAAATGAAAAGCTTCATGTTTTTTAAAAGTTAATAGATTAAATGAAATATTTCTAAAATGCAAAATGCTTTGTTGTATTTCAAAACTAATTTAAATTAACTGGAAGGAGTTTTCATTTTGAAATTGCTAATTTTAACACCATTTTGCCATTTCATCAATAAATGTAATCTTTAATGAAAAATCTGCCCAAAATAAAAACTTTTCTGAAACTATGAGGAAAATGCTTTAAAGTTTGTATTTGAAACATATCACTTTGTTTAAAATGCCAAAATTTAAATTAAAGGTATTGACAGCTTTAAAGTGGATTTGAGGAATATTTGAACTCCTTTTTATACAATTTTGCCACCCATAATCCTAAAATTTAAAAATCCTCCGTAATCTAATGTTTTATTGAATTTTTGATTAAACTTAAATATTTTCTTATCATATCATGCATGGACGACCATATCTACAAACATCAGGACGTTTATACACATTAAAAAAAAAATTTAGATTTTTTTTTTTTAAAATGATATTTTAATGAATCGGTACTAAAACTTTTCAGTTTATTGTTAGTAAATACAGTTTTTACACACAATTTTAAGAATCCAAATTTTAAATTAGTTAAATTTAAAAAAAAAAAATTTTGTTAAAAATTATTCATGAAAATAAGTTTTTTTTACAATTAGTGTCCTTTTGAGTCAAATAATGTCTTGATTGATTTTTTATTTGTTCATTTGAAAACTTGAAAAAAAAGATCTACATTCTGTTTTAATTTTAACTAATTTTTTTAAATTTTCTATATCAGTTTAAAATAATTTTTTAATGAAAATTTCATTTGCTTTAATCGGTTTAATAATTAAATGTAATTTCTTTTTAAACAATTCTGGTGTATTTCAGATAGAAACTATATACCAAATTTAAAATTTAAAAAATTTTAAAAACCTTAATTTTAAAAATTTGTAAACAAACACAAATTTATCGATTTTTAAAATGTTTAAAAAAATTTTGAAACACGTCCGGTTTTTAGTAAAATTAAAAATTTAAAGTTAAAGTAATTGAAACCATAGCATTTATACAAAACATCACTGATAACGTTGATTGACGAGCCGAACATTAAAAAAAAATTTTTTTTTTTTGACACACTAAATGAAATACAATACATAAAATAAAATTATTTAGTGAAATGAAAAATAATTTAAAATTTAAAGTTTACACTTTTTACAGCTGATCGGAAAACTGTTAATAAAAACGAAATGTTTTGAAAGGGACAAAACCAGATTTGATTGTTAGTAAATACATGGAAATAAGGAAGTTTTACTAAAAAAGAGCAACTAAATTTATTAAACTTAAAATTTAATTTTTTTTAAATATTAATTAGTAATTTTAGGAATCCTAATTCTTTTTAATTTAAAATTATTCTAAAAAAGGAAAAATTTAAAAATTAAAAAAAAAAAAATTTCTTCAGACAATAATAAAATTTTTTTTTTTAAATTATTCATGAAAAATAAGTTTTCAGTTAAATAGCTCAAATTTGTGAAAGAAAAGTAGATTATTTACCATCTTCGAAGACTTACTTTTACAAAAAAAAAAAGAACAAAAGGTTTTAAAATTTCATTAATTATTAAAATTAATGTAACATATTTTAAAAAATATAATTTTTACCAAAATTTTCTAAAAAAAAATTTTTGTCCTAAAATTTCATTATTTAATTTTCAATATGCAAAAAAAAACTATGTTATTTTAAAAGAGTAAATAAAGATTTTAACCAAAATTTCGAACGTGTTAGAAAATATTAAAAAATTCAAAAATAATTAAAAATACTTTTTGATTGAAAAAAAAGATTTTACATTTTTTTGTTTTATTCTGTTTTTCCGCGAAAACAGTGGATTTTAACTAACAAATATGAAGGACCTTTTAAGAGCTGGCGGTAACATGTATAGAAAAAAAGTTTTTAAAATTTATTTGTGAATAAACCTTGAAAGTTTCATTTAAAAAATCCAACAATTTGATTTTTGCAAGAATTTCCAAATCAATGTTGTTTTTTTTTACCACAAAAAGACACTAAAATTTTCTATACTAATCTTTGCTGCTCCCCCCGTCGACGCAAGACAAACAATATTTTTACCAAAATTTCGAACATCATAGAAAAGATTAAAAAATTTTAAATATTTAAAAAAAAATCTATTAGTCTTTCCTCGAACATTCTGATAAAACTGTTTATCAAGTTTGGAGCCTTACACCATGTGTCAGCGAATTATTTGCAGTACCTAGTTAAAAAAAAAAAAAAAAAAAAAAAGTTGTTCGGATTCATCAATATCTGACTAAAACTTTTGTGAAAATAAAAGATTCCATGCGCTTCGCAAATTTCAAGGAGTCACCACGACCATCTCCCTTTCCAAACTTCGGTAAATGGACACGTGTAGATAACCTAATCCCACACACTTCTTTTTAAACGTACATTTGCCCGGTATTTAAATGATTTATCATTTCCGGTTTCCCTTCAAACGAAATCTTGAAAAAAAAAAAAAACAACTCTAAAATTTCGTTTTATGAATAACACACCAACAAAAGTAGAAATATAGAACGTATCCTTAAATTTTTAAAATTATCAACTCAAAATAACTGAAAGAGGCAAATCAGAAAGTGAATTGAAAGACAAATACGCAAGATGTTTACAATACAAGACAAATATTTCAAATCAATGAAAAAAAAAAAAAAAAACTTTTTACTCTCAAAACCGACATAAAAATTAGATAAAAAAAAAAAAAAAACAAAAAACAGTAATGTTTAGTTTCTGTTTACAATAAAGACTAAGGCTGTTTTCCTTAGTTCTAAAAAGGATGATCTAAAATTATGGAAATTGCTTTCATTACGGTTCAACAAAGGGGAAAAAAACTATTGTTAACGAGTTAACCTTACATGATGTTTTTATTACTTTACAGCGAAAGTTTTGAAAAGTTTTAGCATACAAATAATTGTTTATTTGGAGTTAGAAATTACTAAGGAAAAACTAAAAAAAAAAAAAGTGTGAATGAACATTAAGGGAGCACCAAAATTTAGGAGTGGCGGGAAACATGAGGTCGGCAAAGAAATGGGCGACAACTGCTAAATTGCTTAGGCATACACAAAAACCAAGTCATTTTAAGAATCTTCTCAGCCTCAAAGTGTCTGATTAAATATGATGAGTTATTTACAAAAAAAAAAAATACGTTTATACACTTAAATCTCAAAACTAGCGATCATTTTGATTTTTTAACGTTTTATTTAGTTTTACTTTTAAGTTAGCCCAAACCGTATTCCTAGTATTATTAAAAATGAAAATACTTTTACAGTACACTTCAGAGAAGGATGTAACAGTAAAATATTCCTTTAGGCGTTTCAGTATAAAATAGTTGACATTAAGAAAATCATTTTATCAAAATTCATGAAATCGCAAATAAAAATAACGAAAAAAATAAAATTGTATTTTAAGTTCACTCAAGATGAAAAAATATTGAAAAATAAAAAGTTCAAAGTTTGTATATCAAACAAACAAAAGGCCATACCATTTCATTTCAGATTAATAAGGAATTGACATATATATCTATATATCTCAGCGTTATGGAAATATTGACATTCGCTAAATCATCGATGTTTAAAACTACAGAAAGTTTTTACACAAAAAAATAAAAATAATTGAAGTCCCATTTTTTTTAAAACTCCAATCAACAGCGATAGAGAAAAATTAAACCAGAGACAAACAATTTTTTTAATTCTATTTTATTTTTGTATGTAACGATATTAAAAATAATAAGCAAATGTATTTCTTGATTATTTTTCAAATTATAAAGTATATCTTCTTAATATTTAAAAGTCAAAATAAAAAATGCCGGTTAAAAGGTCAACGAATAATGGAGGAAATTTAAAAAAGTGAAAATTAGCATAAGAAAGAGTCAGAGTCAACTTTCTATTAAATATGATGAATTAAAAAAAATCCTATTAATCGTTACAAACATTGGAGTATAAAGTATTAAAAATAAAAACCTCCAGCCAAAATAATATGGACATTAGGCTGTCTTCATTTATTTCATATTCATTCATACAATGTTTTTTTTTTTGTATTTTTTTTTACTTTCTCTCTCGAGTAATTTTTAGAAAGAAAAAGAAATCAATGTGTCCAAATTTATTTGAGGTACACAGAATATTTCATGCCATACAACCCAGTATACACTTTGACTTTATCAATAATCTGAAGAAGTTTTATTTAGACAACTAAATTAATAATTAAATTGATATCTACGTTCCTACAGCTTTGATAAGTCAACAAATGTAAAAATCTGTGGATTTTTCAAAATTTTTACGTGTTTCGATTGTGTGTGTGAAAATCGGTATCAAAAGAAAGATTTTTTTTTTCTTTGTCAGAGAATGGGAACTTTTTTTCGCTTAATTAAAAAATTAAGCAAGAAATTAAGGAAGAAGAAAAAAGTTACCATTCTCTGACAAAGAAAATATCTAGTCAGTACAGATAAGGAAAAAAGCCGGTAAATAAAACACTTATGCTGTCGCAATTATTTATTTTGAAAACTGTACGAAATAAATCAGCCAAGGACAAAATACATTTAAAATAAAAGACTAAGTCTAAAACTGTTTTAATTAACACAAGAAATACGCCACTTCTATGATTGAGATTTAGTTCAGTGATTTTTTACTACATGTTATGACATCTAGCTCCAAACTTCATATAATTTGAATCCGATAAGGATTTAAATTTATATTATTATAATGAGATTAATAAATTGTAAAAACTTATTTTTTATGTATATACATATATATATAAAAAAAAAAAGAAAGAAATGAAGTCCACTTCAAATCAGAGGTAGAAACTAGGATACAAAAATGTTGCATCATAACTATTTCATTGGAATTAAAAATAATCTGTGTTGATATGTTCCTGAAACATTTCGTAGTAACTTAAACGGATAACCGATATAAATAAAATTGTTAAAAACAGTTTGTAAGAGAAGAAAAAATATTTTAAGTTTTTTTTTTGTCAAAAGGAGTGTGCTCGTCCTTTTTTTATTTTATTGTTTTTTTTAATTCACAAAAAAAAAAAAAAAAAAAAAAAAAAACTATTCGAAGAAAAGAAAAATCCAAATAAACTATTTTATTTCATTTATTTTTAAATTTGTAGGTTTCATCAAGTTGGTGTTTTTAGCCTAAACATTTTAGTAATATTCGGCCTTGGATTTTTTTTTCACTTGAAAAAGAAACACGGCACACGCACATATAACATCATATGCAATTCGGGAGGTAAAAAAAAAAAAAAAACCTTTTAGTTTTGAATAAAGAAAAAATATTTCTAATGTTTAAAGAAAATATCAAACTACCTCTTTTTCGTCTCGGACCCTCCTAAGAAGGTCTGCAGTATGTCGATCGACTTCGTGTTTCGTTCGGAACATCATTAAATCTCCAATCTCATGCTCCTACTCGGGTAACGGGCGATTTTTTAAAACTGCTTTTCCGCCATCAAAATGACAGAAATTAATCCTGAGATTTTACGACTCTGCGTCGACCGGTAAATTTTTGTATTGCACACTTAGTTAAAGATTAATTTGGAAAATATGAGAAATAATTTTTTTTAAAATGACAAAACCGCCAAGAAATAGAGGTAAATTGAAGCAAACTATTAATTTTAATTAAGTGTCGCAATATCTCCGTACAAGGGTTCTAGAACATAATCATCGTAAGCAACATGTTTTCTGATTGGATAATTCATATTTCCTTTTCTACCTGTGATAAAACTGAATGTAAATTTGTTTTTGATTGGATAATTTTCAGTTCACCGAATATAAAATCAAAGTGACTTCCCTAAAGTTTCAGTTTTTGGCAAATCGTTTAAAAAGAATACGATGCTATTAGTTTGATGAGAGACACCGGCGCGCCTCACAGTAAAAGGTAGTCATTATTGGTGATTTTTATCTGCACAAGTTACTCTAATAATAACAAGCTATTGTTACTTGCTGAATAAAATTGCATAAACAATTATTAACCAAAGTATTTAAAACTACTTCTGACTGAATGTTACAAACAAGTTTACTTTACATTTACAATTACATTCATTACAACATTGTTTTTCAAGCTTTATCCATCAAAAAATGACTTCTTTTTTTGCGTTCTGAAAGGATTTGATTTATGAACAAAAACAATTTCAATGTTTCAATTACATAAATTTATAATTAAACAATTAAAAATCAATACAAAATTTGATTTCTTTGTTCTTAAAAAAGAATAATAAACTTGATGATTAGGGTACATAAAAATTAACAATAAAGTTTGTCAGTTATCCATGGATTAAAAAAAGAATGTACTTTTTATTATCAATAAAATTACGTTTCTTTTATATCTTGTTTTTTAGCATGTGTGAAATTAAATTTTCTATCATATTCTTGTGTATTTTGTTATATATTCCTCTCAATGAAGCTTCATATTATGCATAATTTTTATTTTCATCAATACAATAAATGACTTAAACATTTTGATATCTATACATACATGCAAAGTTGTTTTTCAGTTCAATTTTTAAGTTATTTACATAATCCCAAACAGATCCTTGTACACTTCTTTATATAAGTTTACCATTTCTTCCTGTTCAAGGTAATCTTTCCAAGTTGTTATGCTTATATGTCCATTGATGGTGTTGTTACTAAAGCATGCTAGGAGGAAAATAGGATGAAGACAGGAAGTGTACTGTTTTTATAGGTGCTTAATAACACCATCTAATGACTTCTTGGCAAATCTATGAGGAGATAACTCTCAAAGTGTCAGAAGTGGTATTCCAGTGTGCTCTCTGATTTGCTCTTCCTATCTCTTAGGTGGTTTAACACGTGGTCTTTTGCTAAAGATGTAGGTTCTCTACACAAAACCTTGCTCTCCTTGTCTGATTATATGACCAAATCAATTTATGCTCTGTCTTCTGATCAGGGTGATTAAGTCAGTCTTCATATCTAGTTTTCATTTATAATTTCCATTCTGTATATGATTATTTTTTTTTATCTTTTCCTTCAATCCCTCAAAAGCAGTTAAGTGTATGTTTGTCTTGTCTGGTTTTCTGCATGTCCGCACATTGAGAGCACTCTTCACGTGCTCGCACACGGAAAGCCAGACAAGACAAACTCAAGCTATTTTGGCAATTGATGGACAATGGCAGACACCAAATTCAACTTAAAATTAATTCCTGGGTTTGACAGATGGGTCTCTGGTCTTCTAGCAGTTGAATGGATGGAGAAGCTGGAACTTGCAGGCTATATGGAGTGAAGTCTCTGGAGCACATGATTCCTTTAAAAGACTTGCAGTCTACCAGCAGCTGGATGACAAAGCAAAATCAGATGTGCGTAAAACCAGACAAGACGAACATAAAGTGTTATTGTGTGAGGCTTCTGTCTACTAAAACAGTATATTCAGTATTATCACATATATATTCAAAAATGTTTCTTTCCACATTTCCCAGAGGGCCTTTCTCCAGACTCTTTCAAAGTTTAATTCTCCTCTTCCAATTCCATGGCCAAACCAATTTAACCTCCTTCCTCTAATTAGAGTAATTATGTTAATCTCTACAACTAGTTTTTTCCTTATGGCAGCCATTCTGATTCTGTCTCCGATATTCTCCCAGCCATAGATCTAAGACAGTTGTTTACAGTTGTTTTGTTTTTTATGGCTTGTAAGTTATTTGATGCTAAATTAAGGAAATATTTTAGACTATAAGAATGAATTGGAGATAATAATGGTTTATTAATACAAGTCCTACTAATTAACCTATAGATGTGGGGGGAAAAGGTGGATTCATACTTTTCACAAGGGTATTTGTCAGTAAGTAAATATAACAAACCCAAATGGAATTGGAACTTGACTCTCCAATTTCCAGTTCATTATACATTACCCAACTGACACATCCAATCTTACAGCACCTGTTATTCCCCTGTGGTCACCCATCGAGGTACTGACCAGGCGCAACATTTCTTAACTTTTGTGATAGTTATTTTCGAAGTGTTAGAACATTTGTATGTCTTCATTTCTCAATGTCCAAGATTCACTGGCATAAATTGCTATGGGTATGATAAGAGCATAGTAGAACCAGGTCTTGAAATAGTATAGAATGTCTTTTCTGTCTCAGGACTTTCAATCTCCCAAAGGCAGTTAAGGCAAGTGTTATTCTTTAGTTTATAATATCAGATGTAACTGAGACAACTGATCCTAGAAAGACAAAGGTTTGAAGTGCTTCACCATCTATCATGATATTATCATTTTCATTTGTTATTACTTTGTATTTGGCTACGTTTACTTTCAGTCCCCATTTCTTGCAAGCATTTTCAATTTCTCTTGTATGCAATGTCAGTTTAGAAAGTATTTGAGATTATATACTGACTAGATCGTCCATGACAAATTCTCAGAATCTTTTGAATGCTGTTGGGAATAATATGTAATTTTATCTGTTATCTCAACACGAAACCATTGTGTAAAATTTTTGTCTACTCGAACAGTTCTGTCGATATTTCTGAGATGAGATATTATCTACACTATTTACATTATTCAGACTATTGTCCTCATCTTTATCGCCATATCACGTTTCGACCGTTGTATGCTCTGGCCTTCTTCAGGTTCTTGGAATGTCGAACTGAATCATTTATTTCGCTCACTGGGGTAGACTGTACTAGTTCTACATGCCATGTTTAATGGATGTCACTTATCTCCTGTTAATTTCCACTGCCTTAACCGGGTTTTGAACTCACACTCTTTGGGTCCTGTCACTGGATCTAACCAATGCCTTTATCCACTGTGCCATGTGTCCTTGAGCCTGTGTATGTATTTCTGGGTATTCTAGAACAGTTCATTCAGTACATCATACATATATTCAAGAATTTTTACATTCAAACTAATAGTCATCTTTGTTGTTGTTATAACAATTTTTCAGCCATTGAACCCTCCAGCTTTCTTCATGTGTCTCTGAATCTGAATAACCATCAGTGCTTTTCAAACTGACCCCCCCCCTCCTTTATTTAATCTACAGCGATTAAATAAATGGAATGAAAACAATCTACAGGTGTAGATTGTTTTCATTCCCTTGTCCATGTCTAGAGATATTGCTCACCTGGCCCAGGGATTGAACTCACAATTGCTTTCGCCAAATTCATTAGCTAATGCTCTAATCCACTTGTCTATTGTCCTGTGGTACAAGGGGTGTAAAGTATTTGAGGGCACACTGAAGAATAACAACCATAAGAAAAACAATTACATCTTACAAACAACTAAATTTATTGATACAAAACTTGGTACACAGATGCAGTAATGGTTAGATTACATGTTTATTTGATGTAACCACCTTCAGCCACAATGATGGTTTCAATGCAAGACCAGAATTGTTGACATGCATGCATCACATGATCTATATTAATATTGGAAATTACTTGGATAATGGTGCCTTTTGAGGCATCAGTCCTATTGTGGAAACATAGTCTCCCATTCAACAATGCTCCACATGTAAAGAGGAAAGGGGATTCAGGTCTGGTTAGTTTGGGGGCCACATGTTTGGTGTTTGTGCAGATTGGCCACCATCCAATCTCAAGACACTACAGCTTTGTGAATGGGTGCAGAGTCCTGTTGAAACCCATACAGTCTTCCATCACATTCAAGGTCTATCCAGGGCTTCATAACAGTTTCCAACACCTCAGTGTAGGCAGCAGCATTCAACCAAAGACCCTGTTGAAAGAAGTCGAGTGGCATGATGTGCCCATCACTATTCATCAAACGTAAAACCGTCACAGAAGCAAGAAAATTGGTGTGCATAATATATGAGATGTCAGAAGAATATGCACATAACCACCTCCCATTTCTATAGTTCACTTTTTGATCCTGATTGAAATTTTTTTGTCTGAAAAAAAAAAAGGAGCATGCCAGGTTTCAATTTGTTCAGTAATCATTTTGCTCATAGAAACCCTTGTTCTTGTGTGTGTGTATACAGGCATGAACTGCCCTTTCCTCATCATGTATGACTTGTACTCATGCATCACATTGTGAATTGGCCCCAGAGACACCTGGAGACCTCTGGCAATGTCCTTCATGGATATTTCAGCATTTGCATCAATAATGTTCTCCACCCACTGCACAAATTGTGGTGTCCTGATATTGTCTGAATGCTAGGAATGCTTTTTCCATTTCGATGCAGGAAACACATCCCTGCTGGGAGCATCTAACTTCTTTTGAACTGTGTGCACAAAAGACCTGGCAACTTCCCTAAATACAATCTCAACATTGCTGTGCTTTCAAAATATCAATGCAATTAAAGCACTTCGTTTCAGTATATGATGCCCAGCTAACACAGAATGTTCTATAAACTGGAATAGGTGACAGTATATGATGCCCAGCTAACACAGAATGTTCTATAAACAGGAATAGGTGACAGTAT